CAGAGCCCATCCGGAGGCATGCCAGGTCAGGAAGCCCATGGCCAGTTTAGCGAGGGCACTGGGATGGCGAGAAGGATGAGCCAATGCCCCCTGGCCCCCTGGGCAAGTCTGGCTCCAGCGGGGGCTCCAGCACTGCCAGCCCCAGGCGTCATGCGCAAAGCGCGACAGTTACCGGGACAAGACGTCCCCCAGTTTCGTTCTCCTGTTCTGAAAGCTCTTCCGAAAGCTGCTGTTTTCCTTGGTTCATCTTTCTCAGGTTTCTCCATTCTTCCGAAGGATGCAAGTCATCCCAAAATTCTTGCAGCATCCTTTCCCACCAGCTCATTTCGGATCTTCGTTGCTCATCTTGCAGTCTCTGCTGTAACTCAGCCAGCTGCTGCCTTTGGCGCTCCAACTCTCGCTCTGCCTCCTCTGCCTTCGCCTGTGCCTCTGTTTGAAGAGGAAAATGAAGAATCAGTCTCTAGAGGTGTTGGCTACTTACAGACAGAGGACGGCTACCACTACTAATCCAAAGGCTTTGGAAAACTATTCCACTTTTTTCTGCATGACTGCTTTTCTGCAGAACAAAAATTGATGGAAGAAACAGTGGAAAAGCACGGGAGGGCCATCAGCAAAAGCTGGTAGGAACCAGTTTTGCACAAAATGGCAACCCATTGTGGTGAGCTATTGAGTCACCCAACCCAGACCCCGCAGGGTAGCTTGTTCCTGGGCAAACAGCCCATGATGGACAGTCAGATCACTCAGACTCAGGTGAGCAATCCCTTCATGGGAGAGAAGCCCTGAAGGAGCGACCAAGACCAGCACCAGTGAGCCAGCGGTGGCCACCGCCAGGGCTAGCTGCTCCTCCAACACCTGGGTGGCACGGCGGGTGCGCATTGCCGGCTCAATGCCCACCCCCCATGAGCACAAGGCCTTTTTGGATTTTACCCCACCCCTTTCCACTGCAGAGATCGCGTTTTGTGATGTCCACAGTGACTGCTAATGACAGGCCCTTCCAAGCGCCCAAATGGCACATTGTTTTGTCACTGGATTGTTACCATTCCTCTTTTTTAAGTTTGTATGGTGTGTAACGTAAGGGAGGAGGGAGGGAAGGAGATCTCCAGAAGGTGGCTTTCTTGCTGATTGGCCATGCCAGTAGAGGCATCTAGGAAATACATTGCAATGATCTGAAGATCTAGCTGCTTCAAGGTGCACCCAGATCAGATGCTGGGCAAAGCTTCGCGCTGCTGTTGCTTCCGACCACAAGTCCTCCTTCAAAATTCCACACTGGAGCCCTTTAACATTCTTGACAGTTCTGCACATCTATGTGCTCATGATCTATGACCCTGTCTCAAAGTTCCTCAACTCCCATGTTTTGCCAACCTCAAGATAAGTAATAAGTATCAGGGAAGGGCAGTGAGAGAGCACCGCTGGAACAAGGTGGTGCTTTTCAAGAAGAAACTGAAAGAAATCAATATGCAGGTAAGGAAAATAGCCCAACGTTCGCTCAGGATGTGGCAAAATAAATATGGACTGAAATGCAACACAAGCATTAAAGCTTGGCCCATTCGTCCAAGCACCTGAATGCCACATCACGGACGTTCCTTAGCTGAGAGCAGCTGCAGACAACTGGGACTAATGGCTACTTCCTGTATGCTTGTCTTAAGACGTGGTGGAAGTTCTCACTACTCATTTCATAGCCCCGCAGGAAAGGTTAGGCATGAAGTGGCAATGCAGCTGACAGTCTAGGAGGCCCTGTGGTTCACTTTGCCACAGATCTAGCCGGCGCCTGCAACGGTTGGACATGATCTTTTCAGACCCAAGGAAGGCTCCAGTGACATGGCAATCCCACCGCCAACTCCCTTTGAACTTCTCGTACTGACATGGTGAGCTTGCAGGCTTGGCAGTGGGAGCAGGAGATACAAGCCGGGCATCCCTCCCTTGGCTGCTTTTGAGGAATGCCCACCAGCAGGCTCCTTGCACAACTCCCAACTGAATGCAGAGGAAGCTGCGCGGGGGACCAAACGTGCGGCCCTCCTCACCCCAAAGTAGCCAAGGCCAGCACAGCAGCGCCAACATCCACTCTGAGTGCCTGCTGTGGTAGCCCCTTACCTGCTTTTTCCTGCTCTTCCTGGGTGAGGATTTTATCACATTGAAGTATGGTTGTGCCTATTTGCTCCTTGTCCTTAAAATACTGCTGCAGGATGGCCTCGGCCTGGAGAGAGGAGAAGCAACAAGCAGCAGAACATATGCAGGAGGGATTATAATGCACGGGCTCAAGGCCGGCCGGCCAACATGCCCTCCCTTTGCTAAGCAAAGGCCGTCAATCTGCTGGCAGACCCTTTATCAATACAGCAAAAATGTTAGGAACCTCCCCCACCCCTTACCCACCATCACTCCTTTGTTAGGTTCCTGGCGGTATCTTTGTTCCAGTTTGTTCAGGTCCTCCAGGAAATGCTTGTGGCCACCAGGCTGGGCATAAATTGCATTCCTGATGCCCTCCTCCAACTCCTGGCATACAGACGACAGCACAGCCTCGCAGCACTTTGAAGACTCAAGCTCATTGTTCTTGCGGTACTCTTCCATCTTCTGATCCAGGGTGTTCTGGCAGGACAAACATACAAAATCATGTGGTCAACGTCTGACTTGTCTGTTATGGTGATGTAACTTCTGGGAAGGCTTAAGGTCGTGGGTGCTGTTGGTGCCCCAGGGATGCCTGGCATACGAGATGATCCAGCAAGGGAGGTGAAGCAGGCAATTGCTTGAATTCCCAAAATTTCAGAGGACCCTGACAAAGGTATGTAAATAAGAAGGGCAAGAGGGAGGGAGGGAGGGAGATGCAATGTATCAATTCATTGGCTGGGCAAAACTCTGAACACTCCACCTATCTCCCATCTCATCTCATCTCATCATCTCATCAAAAGGTCAGGCTGCTCATTTCAGTGCTCAACAGACCTGTGTGGGTTAGGCATCGTTTGCTACGTAGATGGACAGAAGGGCGCTTTTGTCTACTTTATCCCTGCATGTTGTTTCGGAGAAATGGAAACCCCTCTTTTTGCTCATGACAGCCCTCCCCCAATATCTCTGCAGATTGATGGGGAGCAGAAAACATTAAAAAAACCTTATGTTCCCGAAATAAAAATGAAAATATCCAATTGCATTAGTAGTATCCTGGTTGAGTTTTGATCAGTTCATTTATCATCTTGCTGTGCAACATTCTGCAAAAACGGGGGAGGAGAATCTTCTAATTTGTCTTAGGACCAAGCAAAACGGCAATCCCAATCTGGGCAGCCTCTGAGATAAAAGAAGCAGGATCTTCATCAGGAGTCTTCCAGAGGGAGCAGGAAACCGGGAGAAGAGACAGAGTTGCAGTGGCAGCACAGCAGCTGGGGGAACTGGGAAGAGAATCTGTCTGGGCAAGGCTTAATGGGACAGCGCAGTCGGACTGGGCCGAAGTCCAGCGTACAATGGCTACCGATGCTCTAGACACGGTGGGGTGTGGCCAAGTGGTGCCTTCACTACCAGACCCGTGCACTCTCCTCAGTGTGCCACTGGAAAGGGTCACCAGAAAATTAGTCACCGGAAGGCAGGGCCTTGTTCAGCCATTGTCCGGTGACACAGCCGACCCAGCACGGTTCCATGCAGCTGTGCTCAACTCAGACTCTGGCCTTTTTGACATGCTGGAGGGACTCAAGTGCAATCCAGCTGTTTCTTGACCCAACATGGCACCCCAGGGCAGGCGTTCTCTGTCAGACTGAGGAGAAAGGGAGATGTATGTATGTCACCAGTGGTGGTGAACCTATTCCTTGCAGGGTACCTCACAGCTCACATCGCACTGCTTCAGATGATTAATCTGTTTCCTTGGCCCTGATCACCTTCAGCAGCACAATGTCCTCTTCTGCTTAAGCAAACCAGCTTTCCAGCAGTCTCTTTTTATAAAAATCATTCTCACCGGTGCCAGCAATGCACATTTTCCTCTCTTCTCTTCAATCATCAGGTGCTGCCAGCCTGCACTCACTTCCTAGCTTGACCACCTGTCTGCCCAGGTGTTAGTGCTGCTCTCTCAGGAGACCACCTACCTTGAGCTGAGCCTGAAACTCGTGTGTGTCGTCTTTGAAGGCTCGAGCTCTGAACACCCGGAGGGCCTCCTCCTCGCACCCGGCATGGATCTCTAGCAGCTCCTCCAGCGTCTCCGTGGGCAGATTCAGCCATTGCTCCATCAGCTCCACGTAGCGGGCCGTAGCTTCAGCCACCGCAGCCGGGTTCTCGATCTTAGCCAAGGCCAGCACTGCGTTCTCCAAGCAGGGCACTCTTCCATTTTGAATGGTGTCCACATAGGTCTTCGCCAAGTTCGCCAGCACTACAGGGAATAAAACTAACCTGAATGGCTTGGGACCTGGATATCTAAAGGAATGCCTGCACCCATATATGCCCTCCCGCCCCTTGAGATCAGCAACGGATGCCCTTCTCCGGGAACCCTCTGTAAATGATATTAGGAGGGTGAGTACCCGGAGGAGGGCTTTCTCTGCGGTGGCGCCCCGCCTATGGAATGCGCTCCCCAGAGAGGTCCGCCTGGCACCGTCGTTATTTGTTTTTTGGCGCCAGGCTAAGACCTTTTTATTTAAAACTTATTTTAATTGCTAAATTATTGAATTAATTAGGATTTTAAAATTAGCCGAGAATGCACCAGGGGTTTTTTTAAATGTTTTTTCTTTTAAATTGTTATATTATTATTATGTTTTTATGTATTCTTTGTGAGCCGCCCCGAGGCTCTGTTGTGATGGGGGCAGCATAGAAATGTTTTAAATAAATAAATAATAAAACAAGATGAGCCCCTGTGGCAACACTTATTTGGGGGCATGTTCAGCACCCAGTGATCGTGGTAACCCCCAGCAATGTGAAATCAAGTGTCAAGGACTTCCCAGAGAAAGGCAGAGCCTGGCACAGTGATCTTGAATGCTGGGGAGCAGGCAGTCGTTCCCTGCCCCTCCGGTCTTGGACCAGTGGGTTCATGATCAAAAATAGGGGTCTTATGACAGGGCCCTAATTGGGGATTTTGGTCTAGAGACCCTCTTCCCTAGTCCCTGTGCTATTATACTAGCTGCTCTGAGAAAGAGCTTCAGAGCTGGAAAGACTCACAGCGGCCATTGAGAACGTGCCCACCGGGGATGGTCTTGGCCTTGGATGTGCGGTAGACGTAATTGCAGAACTGGGCTGCTTGTTCCACGAAGTCGGGGTCCAGCTCGCTCTCCTGCATCTGGTCCAGTCGAGACAGGTTCTTCTTGGAGGTGGGGCGCTCAAAGATGAAGCATTTCCGGGTGGGGAAGAATTCCTGGATGCATTTGCGTGGTAGGTTACACTTCTCGATAGCAGGGGTGTCTCCTGGGGGAAAAAGATATGGAGGGGTAGCTTGCAGGTGAATCCGGAATGGCACCAGCCAGTGCAAACATTTCATTTCTGGAAGGAACGCTACAAAAAATGAAGGCGTCAGTCAAGGTGGCCATTTTTTGTAAGTATCCTACTTACAATTGGTAAGTTATGCTTATGAACTATATAGATTTCCCTCCCCCATTTCACTAGTGAAGGGCCTGCATCTATACTAGGCAACCCCTAGAAATAAACTTGCCAAATATCCAGATACTCCCTGCCTTCTTCAGTTCACTTCTTTCTGCCATCTCACTGAAGAGTTTCAGTCTGCAACTTCTATCAAACTTCTATCTTTTTATTATTGGCCAGAGAAACGGGACTTCGCATAGGTTTAATTTTTTTTAAGTTATCATAAATGGAAAAAGAAGGCTGTGGGGGCTGATCCAGTGGGCTTGATGTTTTTGATGATGGATGTTGTTTGTAGTTTTTTTTTTTTTTGTTTTTTAGGATTATAATTTCAAATAAAACGTATTAAAAAAAAAGAGTTTCAGTCTGCAGTACCTCTAGGGCTGCAATATTTCTAGACTGTGATGCCATGATTGTCACCTGGAGGGAACAGGATATAGATTTGCAGCTGCAGGTGAATCTAGAATAGCACCTGCCAACGCAAAGATGCCAGCCTGCTGTAAGAAACACTACAAAAAGGAGAGGATTTGGTCCAAATGACCATTCCCTTACCTTGTGCTTTTGCCTAACTGTGAAATTCATTAAGCTTTTGGATCTCTCCTTTATACATTCTCCCCCACCTTCTCTCCACTCTGATTTAATGTTGTAAGCTGGCAAAAAGAGATAGGTTATTCAAAACAGCTTCTTTTTCGCCTCCCTGAGGTCACTTTTGCAACCTCTGGGAGCAATCAGCACAGTTCTTCCATCTCCAGCCCTTCCAATTCCCAGCTCCAAGATGGAAAAATCTGTCTCCAGCCTTGCATCCGGAAACCAGAAATATCCTGCCACCTACTCCAGTGCTGTCTTGGAGCCTCAGGACTGCACCCATAAGCTCTAAACATAAACAATTATATTGCGAGGCTTAAAACTATGTCAACCAACATTACAATGCAATTCTCAATATGAAAAATAAAATAAAAAATTAAACCACACCAATCCAGTTTCTAATTCTCATAGAAGTACATAACTTCATACTGCATTTTTCTTGTGCGTTAGCACCAGAAGGCCAGGTTGTTCAGTGCGAGGGTGGGAGAGATTTATCTGTTAGCTGTTTGCCTCTGGACTATGCTGATATCAGCTGCATGTTGGTCACCAATACCTTGCTTTAATGTCAAGGCATGTTCCAGATAATCATCCGCAGTGATGGGCTGCCCATCCAGCTCCAGGCACAATGTGAAGTCCCTCAAGCTCCAGATGAAGTCTGGGAAGAAGCGAACGAATTCGGCAGAGTCTTCCAGTCCATCCATGGATGGGGCTTTCGCCTTGATGCACTCGGTCAGCTCCGTCACGTAGCTGTTGGCCTCGTTCAGGAATCAGGAGAAAAACTTGCTCCTACTGGGGAGACTAACGCTCAAAAATACACATATTCCATAACATCACATAATAGATCCGGTTACCAAAGAGGCTACCCAAGAGGCTCCTATACCTATTGACACCCTGCACGAAAGTGGCATTGCCCACTCCTATTGCCTGCAGAGGCTCCGTCTGCTGTCAGCATCCAGGACGTGGGGAGCTGGCTCCCTAGCAGGGGCTCCAGGACCCAGGCAGCCGGGGAGGGCACAACGTTCAGTCCAAACTGCAGTCGAAGAGTCCAAGGTCAGAACCAGGAGCAGAACAAGGCAGATTCAGCCCAAGAGGAAGTGCAGTCAAACAAGCCAGGAGTCAGGAAACCAAGGAGACAATGCCAGAGAACAGGTACCTGAGCGCTGAAGCGGGAGAAGGAAAGGGCAAGGGCCAGGAGTCTCACGAACTTGTTTTCTGAGTTTTTTCAACAAAGCGGACAAATGAGTTAGGCAAACTCATTGCCAAAGCAGCTTCTGGAGGGAAGACCCAGGTCTTATGTAGCTCTTCTGCAGGGCTTCCAGGTGGGGCTCATGAGAGCCCTGAAGCTGCAGTAGTTTGGGGGCAGGGGGCATTCCTGCGACTCCCAGGACTGCTATGCTGGTCCTTGGCCAGCGGAAAGAGCCCTGAAGCTGCCTCGAGTCTTGACACATGCCCAGAATCCATCCTGATAACAGTGCATGTCTGATGGGAAATCCGCAGGAGTGTAAGCCCCTCTTGATACATGAAATACAGAGGACTGATGGACCAGCGGGTCTAAGTACCCCATATTGCTCCGATTCACCTCAGAGCTTTGCATATGCACATGCGAGTGAAAAACTGAACAAGATAAGCTGCACACGGATACTCAGCGCTGCCTTTATTTCGGCCCCATTTTCCCCACTAGAGAGCACGTTATTCAGAAGGATACTGGAGCTCGTTCAATGCAGGCTGGTCAATGGTGCCCTTGCTGTTGTAGACCAGGGTGCTGCTCAGGAGCAGGGTCAACGCAAAGATCCAGGTGTCATTCGTGGAATCGCCCTAGGAAAGGGGGAGCAAAGAATTCTTCAGGCTAGGCTGGGCTTGTCCCCTCCCAACCTAGAGGTGCCGCCAAGGCTGTGAGACAATGTTCTTGCCATGCAACACGGATTCCGCGAGGGTGGGCAACGCAGGGCTGGCAGTCCACAGCTGCTCCCCCTTCCTCCTGAAGTGTTGGGATTTTTGAAATGATTCGCCTCTTTACAAAGATCTGCTTTATGCATCCGTTCAGAGTACAAGTCAGGTTGCAAAATGTTTGTCTGATGCGTATAGTTCCCAGATCTATACATGAGCATCTGCCTAGACCAGCCTTCCCTTTAGGAAGGATGGTGGCCGCATTGCAGGGAAGCCGTATGAGGCGAGACTGAGGGAACTGGGTCTCTTCAGCCTGGAGAAGAGGAGACTCCGAGGGGACCTGTTGGCGACATGCAGGCACGTGAGGGGGTGTCACACGGAGGTGGGAAGAGACTGTTTTCCCCTGCAGAGGAAGCAGGACGTGCTCCAGCGGAGCCAAACTCAGGGAACCAAGGTTCAATTTGGATGCCAGGAAGTACTTCCTGTGCCTATAATGGTCCATGTCAGGCAGAAATTCAACAGGTGCAACATTCTATCCACATGCACAGTTCAAGACACCTTTTCCACATCACTTAGTCCCTCTGTTCTTTTTATGTGTGAGTGCATCCTTGTTATATGTAAGAAAGCACGACATACTTGTAAGAAATCACATTCCAATATACTTTAAAAAGTGAGTTCAAAATCACCTTCGCCACATCACCTAGTCCCTCCGTGTCGAGGAGCACAAGAGTTTGGTCAGGCTTCTCGGGGTGCGGAATACACCACATCCAGATGCCCTTGGTGCAGGCCTGTAACATGGAACCCAGTGCAAAACCTGCATGTAGAGAGAACCGTGTGTTGTACAGTTGCATGTGAATAAACCAGAAATGTGTCAGCAGGAGTGACTGGGGAGAAGGGCTGCCAACTGTTTCCTTGGAAGGCTCCAGTGTCTTTAACAGCTTGTGGCAGGCACACATTTAAAGGACATAGGCTTCCCCAGCATGGAAATATGATGGGGAAAAAGGGGCCTGCTAAAGGAATAGGAGCCCTCCAAGAAAAACAAGTTAGCAGCACTGCACAGAGGTCTCTCTCACATTTTCCAGACATTTCAAAAGAATACAGAAGAACAGTATTTCATAGAAACAGACTACACACCTTGATTAAAGCCTACCAGTTAAAACCTGTAGTCTACAGATTATTTAGTTATTTACCTATTTTAAGGATTTCTATACTGTTTGATTACATGAGCTCTCAGAATGGTTTACAGAATATACTTTAAAATAATAATCAATTTAAAAACAAATTTAAAACAATCTTGCCTGTCATAGAACAACAGCATTACAGTCACATTTGACAGACTATAAGAAAACAATAACAAAACAATGTGTAATAACATAATAACCATTCCACCTGTACCAAACACTTTAAAAGCCAATAAAATCACAACCAACAATTTACATGGTGGGAAAATAAGAATGCCTTGAACTGGCACCAGGCGTATTCCTCTGGGGACCTGACTGCACAGACTGGGTGCCACAACCAAGACGGCCCTTCCCCTTGTAGCCACCCTCTTTACCTCCTTTAGGGGTGGCTCATGGAAAAGGACCTCCGTAGATGATCTAAAGGTCTGGGTAGGTGTGTATGGGAGAAGACACTCTTTAGATATCCAGGCCCTAAGACGTTTAGGGATTTATTAGCACAAGCACCACAAAATGGGGCCCAGACTTCAACTAGTCCGCTCGCTTCTACTTGTTTAGGAGCAGGAGGAGCAGAATAGCTGCCCTATTCTGTACCCACAGAAATTGCCAGACCATTTTCAAAGGGCAGCCCACAAAGAGCATGTTAGAGTAGTCTAAATGTGGGGTTTCCAGCACATGGATCCCCCTTGTTAGGCTCTGCCTGTCCAGATAGGGACGCAGTTGGTAAGTCAGCCAAAGTAGATGGAAGGTGCTCCTGGCCACAGTTGCTGCCTGAGACTCCAGGGACAATTCCGGGTCCAGGAGAACTCCCGGGTCCTGCAGGACGCCGTGGACACTTTAACCCAAACCTCTGAATTATATGGGATGCCCTGAAACTTCTGAAAGGTACAGAATGTTGCCTTGGAATTCATCCACCGTCCCTGGAAATGGGATTATGAGACTCCAGGATGGTTCTTTCCAAAGGCAGAGTCCTGGTCCCACTGCACCAATCTGAGCAGATGTCCCTTCATCTGAGAACCATATTCTTCCCTCCAGATATTCCAGCTCTTACTTTTTCTCTTGGTCCTCTCCCCCTCCCTCTCCCCCTCCCTCTCTCTCTCTCTCTCTCTCTCACCTGAGGTCTTGCCAGCCAACTTGTTCATGAGGTAGGACTTGCCCGTGCGGTACAGTCCCACAATGGCCACCACCACCACAGGCTGGGATATTGATGCAAGCAACTCTGCGGCCTCTTCATTAATCACAAATTTCCCGTCGGGTCTGTTCTCGATGAGACAGACAGGGGCGTCCATGCAGATAGGTTTCAAAACCATTCTGTCAAAGGTTAGGTCTGTGGAGCAAAAGCAGCTGAGTTTCATGCTAAGGTGGGAATTGGAGAGACCCAAGAGAAACAGTGGGGATGAGTGTGTGTGTACAGGATCCACTGGGAAGGGCAGGAAACCCAGATGGCTTTTGACTGGCCCACAATCAGGACTTGTACATCCTTTGGCATCAACAGACTGCAGAGGGCCAGGCTGGGCCTCCGCGACGTTTGCAACTAAAGGGAGCCATCTCCAGCTCAGGGTCCTCCTTGGTGCTGGTGCTGGAAAGTGAGGGCTCAGCAAGGGGAATGCCCCAGGGCCTTTTCAGTGGTAGTCCCCGAACTTTGGAATGGCCTGCCAGGAGAGATGCATTAGACAACCCAGCTTGTTATCTTCAAGAGCGAGTTAAAGTTTTATCTCCTCCATCTGACTTGAAATTTCAAAAGGATCTCATGTTTTGTCTGATGGCAGCCCAGGAAGAGTTCATGCCCAGGTCTGAGGTGGAGGCTGCAAGCTGGGAATCAAATGCACGGCCTCGGGGTGCCCTCAGCCACGTCACCTGCACTGCAATGGCAGCACCAGGTGATCTGGCTTTTGCTTAAGCAGAGATTAAGCCTGTGGCTGCTTGCAAAGAGGGGGCTTCTGTCTCTTGCACCTGCGTAAGAGGGTCTGGCTGAGCAGGTCCCTCCACGCTAAGCAAGACAGGCAGGCCAACCCCATATGCCTCAATGTCGTGCATGAAGCTCCAACAGAAACAGTGACTCACGAGGAGACCTTGCACTTGGCACCCAGTGCCCAAGAGTCGACCCCACAACCCAATGCAGGGACGGCTGAGCCAGCTGCTGCGTCTTCCTCTGAGCCCCAGCCCGTTGCGCAAACCCCTGGACCTTTACCTGAGACAGAGAGTCATGAGAAAGAGGGAGCTGCAAGTTCTACTCAGAAGGAGGCAGAGCAAACTGCCTCTTCCCCCCCTGCTGCTGATCTCCCTGAGCCAGAAACAGAAGACACAATAGGTGTCGTGGATTTCTCAAAAGCTGAGAACAGACATATTTTACGCAGATTTGAACAACTACAAAGTAGACAGCGTAAGAGGGAGGAAAGGCCTGACTTGGGAGAATGATCCCACTCAGGAAGAGAAGCCACTATAGGGCTGACATCTGCTTAGCAAGGACCGCTATTAGGGAACTTATCTATAGAACTGTAAATCTTGTAGACAATTAGCATTAAAGGACTTTGGTTTTATTGCTCTAAAGAGTGTGGAATGTTTACATACTGGGTTCTCCACACTCAGTGAGGGACAGACTGGCTCTGGGGGACACGCTGCAGCTTGCCGTGGATTACAGAACTAAAATAGGGGATGGGTTTGTCTAACCCTTGCACAGCCCATGCCAGCAGAGATCACATAACAGGAAGCAACACCCGTGATAGCCAGTGTTTCCCTCCCTTTGCAAGGCACCTAGGGTGCCTCCCCTGCTTCTCATCCTTACAGCAGCCCTGCAAAGGAGCTTGGGCCAAGAGTCAGCGACTGGCCCAAAAGTGGAACCCCACCACCCTGCCTCTTCCTACTTGCTAATTTAATCTAATTTTCTAATTAGTTTTCTAATTTCTAATGAATTACTTTTCTAAGCTAATCAGTTCCGGCACAAGTACCATCTCCTGACAGAGGAGTTGCTCCAGCCCCCTGATCATTTTTGCCCCCCTCCTCCAAGTTTCGCAGCTCCACAGTGTCCTCGTCTGCGGGGAGCAGTGACCAGGACATTCTAAGGGTAGTTGCCCCGTGACATTGGGAGTTATTAAGCAGAGAGTCTTGCAAATTCCAGTCCCTCTGGACTCAAGCTTAGCATTCACTGTGGAAGCCCTTTTGCCATTATGGGGACAGAAGCTGTTCCTGGAGATTCCCAGCAGTCTAGCTGCATGCAGATAAAGAAACAGTTGGCATCTGCTGCCCATCCGTTCTAACAACCTGTTACCTTTGCTTCTTGACGTCCTGCTAGAGAGGTTTTCAGTGTTGTGGAAAATGTTCCTGGGCTTCCCTTCCCCAGCGCCGTCCTTGCCACCTCACTGCAATTTGACCTGGTCTCTGTTGAAGAACAAAAGGAAAAAATTGTTCAGTGCACCTGAAACTGTGTACCAACCTGGGTGGATTTTGTCGAAGACCGTCAAGCCGTTCAGCCCCAAATCCAGCCTCAGACCTCTCTGGGCTTTAAAAAGAAAAGGCAGAATTTGGAAAGGCAAGGCGAGGATCCAGTGGAAAACATATGCCAGCATCACCTGGACTGTTCACTGCACAGGAGAGATGGCCAGAGGCAGAAGAGCAGAGAGCAAGTGCCTAGGAAATGTGAAACTGCCAGTGCTGTTCTGGCGCATAAGAAAATTGTTGAAAGTGAAACTGGTTCTCTATGGGCAGGCAATTCTCAGAAATCAGCAGTTTGGTAGGCAGGCCAAATATGATCTGTGTTTTGATCATTCCAAGCCAGAAAACTTCTGGAGGCAAACACTCATTATCTTATCCATATTGCGTTTGCTAATCAGAGTGCTTGCAGACGGAAAAGGGCTGTTCATTGTTTTCAAAGATAGTATTTGTTTGCAATGCATTGGAACTGGACATGGTTTGAAAAGTTTTGACACTGTTTTTTTTCAGTGGATCACCATGTTGTTGTTGGGTTGTGAGCTGTGGATTTTCCATGCGTAAAGACACAAGGGTTTCCTAGCATGGCTGAATTTAGGCAACACAAGAACCACAGTTCAACGGCAACTATGTTGGGCTGAGCGTGGGCTGCTGCGTTGCCTTAACCCGTCTCTCCCTCTGCCTTCCTGCTTCCACTGTCATCTCCGGCCTGGCAGAGGTGGGCTCCTTGAATTCAAATGTGCTGGTAAAAAGCAGCAACCCTTCTGGGTTTCTCTCTGAGAAGAGAGAAACAGGTTGTCATATGTACTCTCTGATAATTTATTTGGATAGGGTGTGTCATTAATTTTCTTGATAACTCCCTCTCCTCTCGGTATGTACTGCTGACACCAGGAATTTAATTCCAACCCTATTGACTAACCTCTCCTCAGTACAGTTCAAGCTCCTTTGTCACGAGGATGAGAGTGATATGCAAACAACCTATGACCTTGGGTTAACAATAAGCAAAATTTTGTTAACGATTATCACAGCACTATGTGGAACTCCAATGTGAAGTTGCTTTTTCAGATTCTGTAGATTTGCTAGACTGACCACAATTGAGTGTTAACTCCTGACAGACTGAATATGTTTCTTCCTTTTCTCCTTCCAAGCTCTGCCACCAACCAGTCGCCCCACTCACTCATCCCTCTTTTACCCCCCTTGATCTTCTGAAGCTTACTAACATTTAAAGAACACTCATCACATTTTACGTAAATCTTTGCAGAGGTATGTGGATGTGCGCTGTTTGTGCACAGGTGTGTGTGCTTTAAAAGACGTAGAATAAGTTATTCCTTGCTCCAGCATCCTTCTCTTACCTTTGTCCAGTTCCTGTATGTACCCACCCTGAAAATCCAAATTATTTGCAATCCTGGTTTTCAGAAGGCTATGTTATGAGGCAGGAAGTCTTTTAGAATTTGCATATTCTATTCTCGTTGTTGAGATGAGGTTTTACAGTTCCTTTATGCAGAAAACAGGCAACTTCACTGGGAGAAGCAGCTGTGATGGGTACAGACTGGACAGTGCTTGCTTAGATATGGATGAACAATGGCATATCTCTGTCCCCTTCCTACACCTGACATTCCTTCCCAATATCTGAATGCCTGTTGCAAGATGATGGAGCAACTGGTACAGGGCTGGACTGAGACCAACATGGGTTTACACTGGAACAAAAGGGATTTCAACCAAACAAAGCTAAAATAGACTAAACACTGTAGAGAATTTCCCGAAGGTCAATAGAGTAGTTAGGAGCCGGAAGAGCTTACTCAACTCAACTCAACTCAACTTCCGGGGCCTCCACTTCAGGACATCAGTGACTGGGTTCACATAACACCATGTGCTCCTTCCATGGGGCAAGGCTTTTGTTTGAACTTACTGGGCAGGGGATCGTGTGGTTCCCCTGCTCCCGTCTGTCCTCTCGGCCTGGCAATGTGTCCCAGCAGCCCCCTCAGCACAATCCCATCCTTTCCCCATTTGGACTGCAGCAGCCCCTCCGGATCGGCCCACTGCCGTCCCCCCTCCCATGCCTGAGTGTATCTGCAAGCCAGCAGCACTTGCCCCGTGCTCAAGCCCCACATGGCAGGCAAGCGCCCGCTTTCCCCACAATTTTCTCTCCTCACTTTGTGCATCTTTGCACCATCTTCCACTTTCCAGAAGGAAACACATGGGCACATCACTCGACCACTTGGAATAGTGAGCAATGATGCTTGTTACTAAGACCTGATGGCAATAGAGATGGAAGGCTAGAAGCAGACACTTCCACTGCCACTCTTGCGAGAGGACTCTATGGTATTTCCATACCGCAATGACAAAATGGCGACCCCAGGTCTGGACAACCAGACACACTGCGGTGAAGCACAGCAACCTCAGAACAGACCACTGAGTCTCTCCCTGGTTTCAAAACTCATCCTGCCATGTAGGAACTCTGGAATGGGGCCAGGGTGACACAGCAGACCACGGTGGTGAGACTTCACTGTAGCTGTGTGTGTCATGTTGTCACGAGTTGGTTCCCTCCTCCTTCCTTTCAAAAAACAGACAGTTCTTTTGCATGAAAGCACTTGATTGCCAATGTAGGACCACCAAACTAAAGCCACCGGAGGAAGAGTACCTGAGCATGAACAGACTGGTTTGTTGAATCCAAACTAGAAATTTTACAGTGTTCCATTTCACTGCTGTCATACAGCCCATGACAGTGATGAGGATGATGTAGTTCTGTTGCGTTTAAAAGGGTGCTGTGCCACATCTGAAGCGAGGCTGGCCCTGCCTAACTAGGACATGCCCAATGGGCCCACCATGCAGGATGGGCACAGGAGAGGAGGAGGAGGATTATGTAAGCAGCCTTGAGTTCCTTGAAAGGAAAAAGGGTGAGAGAGAAACATAATAAATACATAAATAAAATGTACCCTTTGTTGGGGGGTTTGGATGGGGGGGCACATCACTGGGGGCTTTGGTTGCTCACTGCATGAATGCTGGACCTTGGTCTGACCTGCAAGGTTTTTCTTACATTCTTAATAAACAAAAGAGAGGTTTCTATGTTTCTGTCATGGTAGGCATGTCATGAGCAGAGCTGGCTGGAGCTGGGGGTCAGACTAGATGGCCCAAGAGACCCCTTCTGACTCACTGTGTTTCTATGAAATGTCCTCTCTTGGCACTTCCCTGCCTGGGTGAAGCAACCTCCTTGGATTTTGAGTGTCACCATTAAGGGTGGAAATGTGGGAGATGGACCCCAGTTACGGGGCACAATCTACACTTCTGCCACACAACCAGGAAGATACTTAATGCTGGATGTCTCCATATCTAAAGCTAATGAGCTTTCTACTTGCCCTCAGTCATTTCCAAAACAAAGGGTAATCTGTTCTTACAAGGACAATTCCATTCTACAGCCTGTACTGCTTTTTTAAGTGTTCATCCATTTATAGTAAAATGCACCCACACAAAATTGTACTACACTACAAATTCTTGCTAAATACCAGTCTGGTTAACACTGACACAAATTATGAAGACGCAACCAACTCAACTCAAATAGAGGCACTTCTAAATCACACCCTGAAGTATGGGTGTGGAATGCACACTTCCTAAAACCCATTGAAAAAACACCTGTTCAATGCTTATTCCTTTATCACTAATACAAAGCAGGTCTCCTTTCACCTCCTCCCGCCTTGGGTGTAATCCAATGACAGTATTCAAACCAGGGCAAGAGCCTTCATCAGTGCCTTTGGAGTTGCCACCCTCAAAGGATCACGCATATAACAGGGTCTTCCTACTCGACTCTCTGAACTGCTCTCGGTGGTGGAAGCATCCGTGCCATTTGCCTCTGGAAGGGAGAAATACAGAGCCGTGTCCATTGATAATACTGGATTCCTTGGGAATCTTCTCCCCCACATGAAACAACTCGGCCTCCTTCTGTCTTTTGCGTCGAGAACTCTCAGATTTCAAGCGGGTTGCCTGCAGAGAGTAAATGCCGCTCCAGAGAGGCCTGTGCGGATCAGAGCGTGGAAGGCACTGGCTCGGGCCCTGCGCCGCACATCTTTATTATTTTTTTATTTCATTTTATTTTATTTTATTTTATTAAGTTTTTATATGCCGCCCCCTTGCTCCATAGCCTCGGGACGGCTCAACTCATCTTTGCCGAGTTGCCAGCACTTCTGCTCGGCCGGCCCGGTTCTCCTTGCGAGGCGCAGCGGAGCCGGGCGCCGCGCCCAGGGCCTTCCCCCGGGCGCCGGCGAGCCCTGCGAGGGCGGGCAACAGGGCAGGGGAGGCAGCGAGAGGCCCGCCTTCCCAAGTCCGGCCCGTGCCCCAGACTTCTGCCTCGGGGAAAGCTGGAACAAGCGGGCGCTGAAGTCTGGCCTTTGCTTACCTTCGCCTCCCTCGCCGCAGCTGCGCGTTGTTCGCCGTCGTTTCTTCTCGCCGCAAAGAAACCGAAAGCAGGGCGCGACTCCGAGCAACGGAAACCGGCAGGCCCGACCACGTTCCCCAGCCTAGCAGAGCAATTTCAAATAAATATATCAGAAATGGGGTGGGGGGGCTCCATCCCAGCCTTCATGAAGGCTCAGCTCGCACGGACTCACACTCCCCCCTCCAGTGCTGCTTTGTCCGAAAAAGTTGCAATGGAGGAAGGACCGTTTGCGGGCGCCGGAGAGTTACCTGGAGCTGCAAGAGGCGCCCAAACAGCCTTTGGGGTCTGCGTCCGAGGTGGACGCCCTCCTTTCTTTGGCGTCTTCTCTTGATCCGCGTTGACTTGCTTCCAGGCTTGGGCAACCTTGGAGGAGACCCACGGAAATCGATGCAACGTCTGCGGAGGTGCCCTCTTGCCACTTAATTGCCTGCCTGGAAGACCCTTGCTGGGAATTGGGGTGCGAGCCGCAGTGCTTGGGGTCTTTCTACCACGGAAGTCATGGTGGAATGAATGTATTTAAAAACACAGCAATGCTGGTGGAGTAGACAAAAAAAACCAGGTAACTCAAGTCCCAGCTTCTTAGGGCCACAGCTCCTTCCCAAGAGGGAATGGCGTCACAAATAAGCAGCTAAGTATACCCTTGTCCGATGTGGCTCAGTGCACCTTCCTGCCTTAATGTTAAGCTGAGTTGTTGAAGGTTAACCTTAATGCGAGATAATGGCTCGCTCATCCCCGCACTCAGTACCTAAGTTTTTATCGCCCCCTGGTGATCTTCACGAATATCTCTTATACTGCTGCTAGGCTGAATCTGTGCACATGTGGTCTACTAGCTTTTGATTACTGAAAGGCCCACAAATTAATGGGACCTGTTCAACGGTGGAGGAGGAGCACTGCCTGCTTCTGCTTTTCTTTGGAGAGGGTGTAGGAAGGGAGCATAGGAAGTCCGCATTAAATAATGACAAACCATAGTAGCACTGAAAGGGGCCCACAGGCCTTCAAGACCAATTCCCTGCTCGTTGCAGGACTCCCAGTTAAACCATCCCTCTCAGATGGCTGTCCAGTTGCATCTTGAACACTTCCAGTGTGAGAGAGCCCACCACCACCCTAGGTCATGGGTTCCATCGTTGTCCTGCTCTTACAGTCAGGAATGTTTTCCTGATATCCAGCCGGAATCTGGACTCCTGTAACTCCAGCCCAGGTGTGTGCTCCTTTCCTCTGGAAACAACAGGAAAGGGTTTTTCTGCTCTTACCTAGTTTTATTTGGGGGTCTCATTTGGAAACGCTCTTCCTCTGGAACCGTATCCTCTCAGAAAAGTTTCTTCCGATGTGTCAGCTTCTCTGTCAACCTGTTGCTGAGCAGGTCTACACCTTCACATCAAGCTCAGCATCAGTTGCAGCTTATTTGCTCCAGCACCGTTGTTCCAGTTCCACCCCACACCTCCTGCTGAGCCACTTTTGTCAAATCCATCTTCTTTATCATCTTGCTAAACATGTTCAGTGGGGCTGCCCAGACCTCCCTTCCCTTCGTTTCACTGGGCAGTGAAAATTCTTTCCACTGTTCCCTTTGCTCTGAGATAAGTTGGCCAATCAGCTGGTGAGCTGGAATTTAAAGGCACTGGGGAATTCTAAAAAGCACAAGAAAAATATTGCCAGAAGAAGGGTATAATCCTGCAGCCTCGACTATCTTCTCGGATTGGGGGGTACATGATTATTCAGAGTAGCCGCCATCTTGCAGCTGGCATCTCAAAAGCCAAGCCTCCAACCTGCCAGCTTCACAGGGAAAGACCTGCACTGGCAGCCCGTCCCAAGGCCCGAGAGGGCAAAGGGGGCCGGCCAAGGATGGGGAGAGGAGGAGGCAGGGACTCAGGGCATACTCCGATCTGTGTCAGTGCCCAAACCTTCTTTCCACCCCCTCCCTGGTGCTTTCTTCAGATGGCCCAAACAGCTGTCTAGATAAAATACATGGCATGAGGCATGGCAGCAGCTTGCAGCATCCCTCTTCCCCCCCCCCCGTGTGATGCACAGAAGCCCCCACGCGGCCAGGAGACGGGGCCCTGGCCTGTGCCGCACGAGCGGACCCTGCATTCTTAGAAAGCCCAGTGGGCCCACTGCAGGAAAGGGCAGGCCGCAACCAAGCTGAGGCGGAGAAATACGTGCTAGAGGGGGTTGTGTCCGCTTGGCAGTGCTCCACTGCAAAGACTCCAGCCCAGGCTTCCTGTTAGCTCTAGTGCTGCTTCCTGAGCCTCGCCCTGGCCCTGGCCCTCCCGCTTGCTGCCGTGCCTGCATCCTGCCCAATGTTCTGTTCTCCCTTTTTCGGGCCTGGTTTCTGCTGCGGATCTGTGTTTTGCCCTGTTGCCTCGGCAACCCAGGTTTGCCCGTTTGTTCTTGGGCCTGCCTCTTGCCTGACCTGAATCCTGCCTTGCCATGTCACCTCAGTAACTCAGATCTTCCTGCGAGCAGCGGTTCAGTCCCTGCCCCATGCCACATCCGGTCCCCGTTGTCTTGGGTGTTCCATGGCAGCAGTGTCTCCTGCCCCATTATCCTGCCCAAGGTACCTGCCCCTCCGTTTGCCTTCCTGTGATGACACACTATCAGGTCCACCTCCCCAGGAGGCTGGAGCTCCCCTTTGGATTGACTCCCCATCCCTAAATCTCCCTCTTTGGGATGTTGCTCGTCCTCGTTCCCATGGGCAGGTTGGCTGGGCCCCTTGGCTGACCTTGAACCAGTTTATCCCACACAGGGAACTGGGTCCATTCCAGCAAACATCTCACTATCAGAGTCTGAGCTGCCGGTCCAGCCAAAACGGTCAGCCTCTCGTTTGTGGCCCTGTGGTTTGCCAGAACACGCACACACACCACCACAGCAAGAGCGCTCAACACCCTAGAAGTGGCCTCCTCAGCCTGATGCCCTGCAGATGCCTTGGACTACAACTCCCATCATCCCTGACCATTGTTGGAGCTCATGGAAGCTGAAGTTCAAAACACGTAGAGGGCATCGCATTGGGAAAGGATGCCAGGTGTGACAACCCTTTTATGTTCCTAAGAGCTGGTCCACCTGGTTTACACATGAAACTTTGCAGAGAGGATTACTCAATTAAAAACTATGCCTATGAAAAGAAGACACATTTTAGAGGAAATTGGTATAAGAAGTTTTATCAGTGGTACATTACTCCAAAAGATATTGGAAAAATAGATAAGAATTATAATTTTGGAAATGTTAACGGGGCGGATGGGACTTTCTATCGTATGTGGTGGACTTGCATGATCACACAAAATTTTTCTTCTATGTATTTGTACATGTTAAGAAAAAAAAAAGACAAAGGTGAGGGAAGGCTCCCAGTCATTGCAGGAGCTCAGGACCCTAAGTGCAACTCACAATAACACACACACACACACACACACACATACGAACATCATTTGAGATAACTTGCTGAAGAAACGCAGGCTGTACGAGGAGCAGAGCAAAGCGAAACATGCTGGCTGCAGGCAATCTCATTTGGCAATGGCAGTTGTTCCACCAAAACAGTCTTGGTGGAATGCAGAATATAGAAACAGCGTCCCAGTAGTAGAAATTCTGCATCTGACAGGCAGGAGGCAAGAAGCTTTCTGTGCTTTTTTCCCGAGTGCCTATTCACTTTTAAATTTTGTCCTCTTTTATCTCAGCATAAAGTTTTCTGTGAAGCACAGCGCTTATTCTGTGAGGCCTGCAAAAGTCTTGGGAGCAATTTCTTTGGTGTGATGCTGTGATCTCCCACTTCTGGTCTGGCTTGGCCTTACTAGTGGGTCTGAGAGAACAAGCTGGCAAATGCTGTTTTGAGGGGTATTCAAGGAACATGAGTTTGCCACAAGGGTGGCCAACCCTGGTGCTCTGCAGAGACCTCCTCAAGGGGCTGTGCTTGCCTGTTCCTTCTAGCTGGATGGGCGCCAAGTAAAAACACACGTTTCCTTCTGTGGAAGGAACCTTTCTCTGTGTAGGTATAAAATGGCCTTTAGCCCAACAGCAATGGCTGCTTAATACTACTGGGTAGCAGATTCTCATGGTGCAAGACTGCTCGTTAATCAAAGTGCTTTTCCAGTCCCTGCATCTTGTTCCTGTTTCCTTGCCATTTGCTAAGTTTCCAGCTTCAGGCTGTTTAACGCTAAACAAAGCAGCACGTTTGATAAGCATTTCCGAGACAGGAGGAAGGATCTGCAGGTCAGGCCTAGTTCCTGTCTGGCTACAGGCGCCTCAAAAGGTTAGAAACAAACCCTACAGCTTTGCCAAGAAAACCTGGCAAGTAAAGTGAAGCCACCTCTGCCAGAATATGCAGCCCAGTTGTAATAAAAGATTCCTGCTTTTCATCATTCTGTTCTCTCAGCAGCTGAACCTCCTCTTTCAGCTGATTAGCTTCCCTCTGGAATCCGTTCTTTAACATCTTCTCCTGCTCCTGGAGGGAGAAGACGATGGCGAAGAGGCGTTAGAGTCTTAGATCAAAAGCGAAGGGGTGTGGATTGGCTCGCGGTGAGCCCAAGGGCATGTGCAGCAAGAGGAGGCAGCCCAGCGCCTGCCCAGGACGGTGTTCCCCACTCCGGGGGTGCGGGGGGACTCTTCCCCTGCTGGCCCTTCCTGTGATTTAGGACCACGCAAGTGGCGGATGGAGCTGGGAAACACACACAGAGAAGGGCACCACCAACTGTCCCCCCACCCCCTTTCAAGCAGAGCAATCCTCTCACACGCCCTGGGAAGTGCAGAACTCTTGAGACTTCCTGCCTTCGATGGCAGCCTGAAAATACTTTGAGTGCCTTAACAGGAAGCTCCTGATGGGAAACTAAAAGGGCGTCCTGGAGAGGAAGGGAAGGCACCGTGAGCAGGCCCCGTGAGGAGTCCAGGCCTTCTCGCAAGGGCCCACCCTGGGATGCTGAGCCCCCTGTCTCGGGGAAATCCCCCAACATCAAGGGACACAACCACAAGGCGTTCGAGCCCATATACTTTAAGCCAATAAGGGAAGCCCAGCACAAAGGGGGTCACCTGCCACCTGCACCCCCCAGGCCCCTGGAACCCAAGCCTAGAAGAGCAACCTGGGAATGGGGCCAACTGAGGGCCCCACCCATGACTTCCAACAGTCCTGGGCGGCTGCTGGCCTTAGTGGGTGGCGCTGGGGAGCCACTGTCCTGGTCCACCACCGGACACTTGAGCAGGTGGAGTGGAGCGAGGAGGGTTTCTCCAGCTCCCAAGCCCTTCTGCACAGCTGAGGGCAACCTGGCCAACCCAGAGCCCATCCGGAGGCATGCCAGGTCAGGAAGCCCATGGCCAGTTCAGCGAGGGCACTGGGATGGCGAGAAGGATGAGCCAATGCCCCCTGGGCAAGTCCGGCTCCAGCGGGGGCTCCAGCACTGCCAGCCCCAGGCGTCATGCGCAGAGCGCGACAGTTACCTTCAGCTTGCAGTCCATCACTTTCTCCTGCTCTTCCAAGATCTGCTTTCTCTCTTGCTGCAGCTTCTGCCTCAGCTCTTCCAGGTTCATTTCAAAGCTCCGTTCCTGATCAGCCCTCTTCTGTTCCAGCACAGCCAGCTGCTGCCTCTGGGATTCCTGCTCTCGCTGTGCCTCCTTGGCCCTCGCCTGTGCCTCTGTTCCAGGAAGAAAATAAAGCATGAACCACCACAGGTATGAACAGCTTCCAGGCAGAGCATCCTCCTGTGACCAGCCCAAAATATTGGGTAGTTCTTCTGTCTTTTCCTCCTAACTGGAATGTATTTGGTAAGAAAAGGGGCTGAAGATGGTAGTGGGGAAGCACAGGTTTTATTGAAGATGGCAATGTCTGGACTATTAGAACATCTTTGTGAATGAGGTAGGTCATCTGCACACACACACACACACACACACACACACACACAAATCCATGGTCTGGAAGAAACTTACTCCTTCCTCAGTATCTACTGTCTGCTGTAGTATTACTGTCTGATTTCTGAAAGGGAATCTGAGAAGTGAACAAAAGATTACAGAGGCCCAATTGGGTAACTTCCTTTGTGGAGTGTGTGTATGTTATGGGCAAAATATAGCTTAACTTATTATTATTATTATTATTATTATTATTATTATTATTTCTATGCCGCCCCTTGCCAATTTTTGACAAATTGACCCATGATGTTCTGATAAGCTACAGAAACAGACGCAAAGAGTGTTTGTCAATGGCAGCTTCTCAAACTGGGTAGAGGTAATAATTATGGTGCTACAGGGCTCAGTCCTGGGCCCAACACGCTTCAACATTTTTATTAATAATATGAGTGAGAAGATACAGGGAATGCTTATCAGATTTGCAGATGACACAAAATTGGGTGGTACAGCTAATACCCTGGAAGACAGAAACAAAATTCAAAGTGCTCTTGATAGGCTGAAGGCTGAAAGAAATGAAATGAAATTTCATTTAATGAAATTTCAGAATGAAATTTAATAAGGACATATGCCAAGCTCTTTTCCTAGAAAAAAGAAACCAGATGCCTACTTACAAATGACAGCCACTTGACTCAGCAACACTACAAGCAAGAAGGATCTCAGAATTGTGGCTGAATATGAGCCTGCTCTTTAGAAGGCCAGATCCTGAAGATGAAACTCAAATACTTTGGCCCCCTAATGAGAAGGAAGGACTCGCTGGAGAAGAGCCTAATGCTGGGAACAATAGATGGCAAAAGAAGAAGGGGGCAGCAGAGGATGAGGTGGCTGGATGGAGCCACTGAAGCAGTCGGTGTGAGCTTGGGTGGACTCCGGGGGACGGTGGAGGACAGGGAGGCCTGCAGGAGTGTTGTCCATGGGGTCGCGATGGGTCAGACACGACCTCACGACTAACAACAACGAGCCAACAGCATGATGTGGCTGCCAAAATAGGCAAATGCTATTTTGGACGGCATTCATAGAAAGATTCTGTCCATATCATGGGAAGTACTAGTCCTCCTCTAGTCAACACTGTTAGGCCTCATTCTGGGAAGTGAGTCCAGTTCTGGGCACCAGCTGAACACACCAGCTGTTACAGGAAGGCATCCATAGAACCAATGACCTTGGAAGCCACAGGGGCTTCCCCAAACTGGAGACATCCAACACATGTCCTGTTAAAGGTGTGACAGAGGTTCTGCACAGGTGTGCAGAAGGTCATAGTTCACAGGTCAAAATCATTACCGGAAACATTAAATGTTAACCAGCTACGCAACCCACATGCAATAAGCCCCCTCAGTTCACACAATCGCAGACTGAGTTAGCACAGGTAACCATTCTGACAAGACATTAGCAAGAACACCCCGAGGCTCATGCGAAGGGGGCAGCATACAAGTTGTTTAAATAAATAAATTTAAATAAATAAGAACAGGAGAGACACCCACAGCAACAGGCAGGAATAGGGAAATCACTTCTCGACCTTATCTGGATCTCCCCTTACCAGAACACCGACCCTGCAGCCTTCAGCACAGGGAGAATATGGGTATCTTTGCCTTGCTATCTATCTATCTATCTATCTATCTATTAATTAATTAAAACATTTTTATGCCGCCCCATTCGCCGAAGCCTCGGGGCAGCTCACAACAATAAATGGGCGGCTCACAACAATAAAGCTACCTTTTGAGGGAACGGCCACCCAGTCATTATTTTCGCTTCTCCTACTTGAGGTGCAGCGGAGTGATTGGACTGAGCAGAGGAACGGGATGCAAGGCCTTTCCCATCCAGAGGGCACCTCCCCCTCAAAGCATCTCCTGCACATTTCATGCCAGGCCCTTCCTTACCTTTCATTCGCTTCTCATTCTCCGAAAGGGCTTTGTCGCTCTGAAGTATGGCTCTGCCAACATCTTCTTTGGCCTTCAGGAACTGCTGCAGGACGGGCATGGCCTGGATGTAGGAGAGGGGGCAGTCAGCAGAGCGTGGACAGAGAAGCTGGCGACCCACAGCGTGGGCCAGTATCGGCCAGCCAAGGGTTGCCTGTGCGCTAAGAGACGGAGGCCTTGCGTGGCTTTTTCTCCTTTCAAAGGAGAAGGCAGAGGCCATACTTTGGGGTAGGAAGAATCCTCAGGCACAGTTCTGTGCTCCCCTTCCTGTCCAAGCTGAAGTTCCAAGTGGAAGACATTCTGAGCTTGAATATAAACTCATATTGGCTGCCTACAAGCCCACCCACAACCTTGATGGTGTCTCAATCCTGGAGCACTTAAAAAAGGTTTGCCTTTTCAGGGAATAAGGTGACATAAGCAGAAATAAATGCTTGAAGGATTCCATGGTAGTTTCAAAAATATGAGGCTCGAAGTTGGTTCTAGATTGGGTACTAGACTGGGTTCCACAAACCACTCTGTGCATGCTCAGACATTCATTCTGGGTGTTTGTACTCCTGGAAAACACTTTAGTCAATAAAGAAGGTTTTGCAAGAAAAGTCTGAGCTTTGCATGTGCAAAGGGAGGAACCCCAGCTCACGAAACTTTCACCTTCCGTGAAATGAATCTTCTGTTCTTTTTTGTTGTTTGAAAGAAAATACATGATTTTGCTGTTGGGGCTTAGATACAATCTCTGCCATATTCTCTTGGGCAAGTTACTTGCCTCTCAGCTTTATCAATTTGCTTTCCATGAAACAAGATTTGGAGCAGAAAACTTTGTTCCAAAGATTGGCCTTGTGTGCTCAAACCCCACGACTGTCCTGCCCCTGTTAGCCAAGTTGCATTTCTTTTGGTCTGTTTTCCCTTCTGGAAAAACCTTTGTGATCTGCCATTTTGCTACTATTGTGTAAATGAGCAATCTTCCCACTGTAGACATCATGTGAGTGAGCCCCACCACACGCTCCCAAAATTCCAAATGTGTTTGGGACCCCTGCCCAACCCCTTACCTACCATTAAACCTTTCTTAGGTTTCTGGTGGTATCTTTCTTCCAGTTTCTTCATGTCCTGCAAGAAATGCTGGTGGCCACCAGGTTGGGAGTATCTCCCCGTTCTGATGTTCTTTTCGATCTCCTGAGACAGCGCTTTCAGCACAGCCATACTCTCTCTTGAGGATTCCTTCTCGTTCTTAGAGCAGTACTCCTCCTTCCTCTCATCCAGGGTTTTCTACCAGGACAAGACATGCAAAATAAATCTGAGACGCAGACGAATGGTTTGATAGGCTATCCGAAAGCATCACAGGGCTGAGTCAGGCACTGAAGTTACTGCACACCTGCCTCGTGCCTCAGGGTGCCGCCTGGATGACTCATCCGAACACACCTGCGTGCTGACGGCCCACTAGCCAGGGCGGACTTGGCCACCAGCCCTGACATATGGCCAGTTAATGTCCGCAACCTACCATGAGCTGAGCCTGGAACTGGCGTGTGTCGTCTTTGAAGGCTCGAGCCATGAACACCCGGAGGGCCTCCTCCTCGCACCCGGCATGGATCCGTAGCAGCTCCTCCAGCGTCTCCGTGGGCAGCTTCAGCCTTCGCTCCATCAGCTCCACGTAGCGGGCCGTAGCATCGGCCACCGCAGCCGAGTTCTCCCTGTCAGCCAAGGCCAGCACTGCATTCTCCATGCAAGGCACTTTCCCACTGCGGAGCGTGTCCACGTAGGTCTCCGCCAGCTTCGCCAGCACTGCAAGGAGAAAAGCAAAGGCGACGCTTCTTTAGGGGCACGTTCCTAAATAATTATCCGCGGCATTGCAAAACCACGTTGTCTAGGATTTCCTAAAGAAGCAGTGGTGTTTGCAGCAGGACCTGAAGGTTGGGGAGCAGGCACTGGTTCCCGGCCCACGTGCCTCGGACTGGCGGCCTCACGATCCACAAGCAGAAACTTGTGTGCTGAGTTCAGTGAGGACACTACAGACAAGAGAGAGCAGGCAGGGAAGGCGGAGAAAGGAAAACACTTGATGATTTAATTAATTAACCAATATAAGAAACGTGGCCTGGATATATTCAAAGTATCAAGTATCCCAAGTGTCGAGATATGTTGCGGCTCAATGCTAAAAGTGGATTTTGTACAAAAAGGGACAAAGCCGAGGGCCCAGGACCCTGTTGCACAGCAATGGCTGCTCCGAGAAAGGACTACAAACTAGGAGGACTCACAGCGGCCATTGAGAACGTGCCCACCGGGGATGGTCTTGGCCTTGGACGTGCAGTAGACGTAACTGCAGAACTGGCCTGCTTGTTCCACAAAGTCAGGGTCCAGCTCGCTCTCCTGCATCTGGTCCAGCCGAGACAGGTTCTTCCTGGAGGTGGGGCGCTCAAAGATGAAGCATTTCCGGGTGGGGAAGAACATCCGGATGCATTTGCGTGGCAGGTTGAACAGCTCGATGTCGTGGCTGTCTCCTGGAGAGAACAAGATATGGAGGGGTAGCTTGCAGGTGAATCTGGAAGGGCAGCTGCCTGCGCAAAAATTTGTTTTGGAAGGATCACTGCAAAGAAAGGAAGGATTCGGTGAAGGTGGGTATTCCACAGTTCAGTACGGAAGGCTTCCATACCTACTTTGTAGTTTCATTTAATTCTCATGCTTACCTAGTATATAAATTCATCCTTTACACTTTCTTTCCCTCCCTTCTGCCCCATGCCTGATTGAAGATTGTAAACCTGTACACAAAGCTAGTTTATTAATACGTTTATGGGGCATAGAGTGATTTTGATGCAGTATCATTTTTATGGTTGGTTTTATACATTGTAATGATGGTCTTATACACTGTATTTTATTCTGATTAGCTGAGAGTAATTTCCATTTACTCTCAGCTAGTAAAGGGGTAAAAATGTTTCAAAGAAATATAGATTAGTCCCAAAAAGCATTTGCAGTCTGCAGTCTGAAACAGAAAGGACAATGGATCAACACTCTGAATTTAACTAGGAAAGAAAGCTCCTACATGGTGAGAATGGGAAAAAATAGAAGAGATCTTCCCAGTATACAATCTGGTTTGAGTGAAAATAAGCTAGTGTGATCTACTTATATTTCAGTGATATGGACTCTGAAAAGGACTTAATACCAGTTCTAGAAAGCACAAGCAGATGGTCCTATTCCGTTCAGGTGCTGTTTGCGGGCTTCTCCAAGGCGGATCAGGTGGATTGTTTTGGGAACTGAATGCTGGATTTGACAAGCCTTTGATCTGCTCCACTGGGGCGCTTCTTGCCTTCTGTTCAGAGCATTGCTTAAGCTCTTAAAGGAGGGCGCGGCACCGCAGTCGCAGGGACAAGAGGGTATGTAGAGAATCTGTTGAGAATTCTATGCGCTCAGGGAGGCGAATCCAAATTCTAACCATTCTCCCTTCTCACAGAAAGAAGTGGGGCAGATGCTCTCTGGTGGTAACAACCACCAGACGATGTAAGAGATTGGAGAAAGGAAGAACAGGGCACTCTGAAGCTTTTCTGTTGCCCACCCCACCCACAGGACAGGTAGGCCAGCTACCCTGTAACGAGGAGGAGGAAGGGGCGGTTGGTCTCTTTCCTTGTTCCATTCTACTTGGTTTTTCCTGGGAGGGTGCAGGATGGGCAGGGGGCTCTGAAGGTGGAGCCCCTTCCCTCTCTCCAGCAGCAGTCCCTTCAGACTGAATGCCAAGCCTTTCTGCTGATTCTCAGTAATGATCCTCTCCGGTGCATCGGATCTCCCTGCACTAGCTGGCGTCTTGCCCATCCTGCCCCTTGCCTCTTTCTGCCCGCTTTTTTCTGAAATCAAAAGCCCTTTCCCCCTCTCTCCAGGCCTCCTTTGCTTTTTACAAACAGCGGTATCCTCACAGACAAACAGACAGAAGCACAGACAGACCTTAGAACGCATGTAAATTAGCACATGCAGATGTGTGCATTTGCTTGGACTGTGGCCAAGATTGCACCCCGGATCTTTTCCCAAGCCTGGGAGAGAGGGAAGGAGGGAAACAACTGGACCTCTGGGTGGGTGGGAGGGGGGAAGGAGGCTTAGGAATTTTCCTGTGGGAGCTGGTAAAGGTAACATGCATCCCGAACTTGCCATGGGCCAATAGCGAAGAGGCTGGTGAAGGAGGGCAGGAGCAGGGGATTGTAGGATGCAGATTCCAGGAAAAGGCGCCGAGAACATTCTGGAACTGACTGTAGGACCAGGGGGAAGAACGAGCCACAGCAAATCCAATCATGCCTCAGACACACCTTGGGTCGTTCTGCAAGTTTAGTGGTTGTGTGAAGCCAGATAAGCTGCCACAGAGGCTTCTGGGGCACAATGGCCTCATGAAATGGGCCCCCCAAAGTGAAGGAGAATGAGCACGCCATAAATGCCTCAGAGAAGCTCACTGTTAGCAACAGGGGACCGGTGTGTACCCCTGAGGAGGAGGAAGTGTGGGCCCCAGGATTATATGGCCAGTAACGGTGCATTTGTCATTGGTACCTTTTTTTAATGTCAAGGCACGTTCCAGATAATCATCTGCAGAGATGGGCTGCCCATCCAGCTCCAGGCACAATGTGAAGTCCCTCAAGCTCCAGATGAAGTCTGGGAAGAAGCGAACGAATTCGGCAGAGTCTTCCAGTCCATCCACGGCGTTCTCCCTGGATGGGACTTTTGCCTTGATGTGCTCGGTCAGCTCCGTCACGTAGCTGTTGGCCTCGTTCAGGAATCAAGGGACCAGCTGCCCTGAAGTGGGGAGGGGAGGCTTGGAGACCCGCCCCACCCACATAACCAGGTGCAACAGGTGGGGTAACGGGATGCAAAGGAGGAGACCTCCATGCCTGTAATCAGCCATTTCTTCTGGAAAAGGGAGCACGCCTCCACTGCCAAAATTCCCACATCTCCTTTCAAGTGGAACAACCCTGACTTCTTTGGAACCTGGACGACTGTCTGTTGAATTATCAAGGGTGAATTCTCCTGGAATCTACCTTGAGTGTAGTCTGTCACTATTTGCATAAATAATTTAAATAATGCATTATGTAGTTTATATATAAATAAATTCAATATAATGATGTATTATTATTATAAATGTAATGTATCATTATATATGATATAAATATTTATTTATTTATTTATTAAAACATTTTTATGCCGCCCCATTCGCCGAAGCCTCAGGGCGGCTTACAACATAGATATAAATATAATATAAAGGTATTATATTTTGTATTATATTACAATATTATTGTATTATATTATTATATTATAGGACTTGACATTAAGTCCAGTCGTGTCCATCTCTAGAGGATGGTGCTCAACTCCGATTCTTAGCCGAGGGAGCCAGTGTTTATCTGCAGACAGTTTCCATGTTCATGTGGCCGGCAGGACTAAACACCGAGGCTCACGGAACACTGTCACCTTCCCACCGAAGCGGTACCTATTTATCTGTTCACATTTACATGCTTTCGAACTGCTAGGTTGGCAGAAGCAGGGGCAAAGCAACCCCATCATGTGGATTTGAACTGTCAACCTTTTGATCAACAAGGCCAGCTATAAAATAGAGAATTATAATTACCTTTATATAAATAATATTGCTGTAAACACCTGGTAGAAGTCTCCTTGATTCTTGTCCCCATTCTTCTGTTAGTACATGGTCATTACAACATTGTACTATCATATAGAGATACATGCAAAAGTACGTTGCATGTTTTGTATTTAATGCATCAATATTGCATTATTACTACATTGCTATCGTATCCCGCCTGCTTGCCTTTTGGGTGGAACCAAAGGCGGCTTACACAGCTCCATTTTTATCTTTAAAACACAGAGGGAGTGACTGGTCCAACATCACCCAGGGAGCTTAAGGCCAGGTGGGGACTAGAACCGGGACGACTTAGGTCCCCAGCCCACCAGTCTAACCACCACACTCCACCGGCTCTTTAAACTCTCTCATGCTGTTCCCTGTGACCCTCATTGCCTCACTGTTGAGCGGGAGTATGCAGAGGATACTGGAGCTGGTTCATCGCGTACTGGTCAATGGTGCCGATGCTGTTGTAGACCAGGGTGCTGCTCAGGAGCAGGGTCAGCGCAAAGATCCAGGTGTCATTCTTGGGATCGCCCTGAAGAATGAGGAGCAAAGAATGACCATGCTTAGGTTCCACTTCCCCCACCTGGCACAGTGTTGCTAGGCTTACTTTCACTTATCAGTCTACTTACATCTCTTCTTCCCCTAAAGCTGCTCTATTTACATATTCATTTGTTGTTGTTGTTAGTCATGAAGTCGTGTCCAACCCACTGGGGACCCCATGGACAACATTCCTCCAGGCCTTCCTGTCCTCCACCGTCCCCCGGAGTCCACCCAAGCTCACACCCACTGCTTCAGTGACTCCATCCAGCCACCTCATCCTCTGCCATCCCCTTCTTCTTTTGCCATCTATTGTTCCCAGCATTAGGCTCTTCTCCAGGGAGTCTTCCTTCTCATTAGGTCGCCAAAGTATTTGAGCTTCATCTTCAGGATCTGGCCTTCTAAAGAGCAGTCAGGGTTGATCTCCTCTAGGACTGACCGGTTTGATCTCCTTGCTGTCCAAGGGACTCGCAGGAGTCTCCTCTCGCACCACAATTCAAAGTCCTCAATTTTGATGCTCAGCCTTCCTTATGGTCCAATTTTCACAGCCATACATTGCAACTGGGAAAACCATAGCCTTGACTATACGCACTTTTGTTGGCAGGGTGATGTCTCTGCTTTTTAGTATGCTGTCTAAATTTGCCATAGCTTTCCCCCCAAGGAGCAAGCGTCTTTTAATTTCTTGGCTGCAGTCCCCATCTGCGGTGATCTTGGAGCCCAGGAAAATAAAATCTGTCACTACCTCCATTTCTTCCCCATCTATTTGCCAGGAAGTGAGAGGACCGGATGCCATGATCTTAGTTTTCTTAATGTTAAGTTTCAAGCCAACTTTTGCACTGTCCTCCTTCACCCGCATCAAGAGGCTCTTTAGTTCCTCTTCACTTTCTGCCATGAGAGTGGTATCATCTGCATATCTGAGACTGTTGATATTTCTCCCAGGACATATTCATTAGAGGTTTGCAAATGGAGCCCTGATGTATTAAGTCCTAGGTTCCACAGAGGAACATCTGCCTAGTTCAGCCTTCACCTATTTGGCCTCCTCTCCACAACTCAGTGATTGACCATGCTGGCTGGGGATGATGGCAGCCAGCCAACACACCTGGAAGGCACCAGACTGGGGAAGTCTGCCTAGAAAGCCAGGAACTGGGCATGGTCGCAGAGTCAATGTGACAAGCGGAATGAGTGTGGCCGCCATTTTCTTTCCAGCAGGACCTCCTGTGCTTATCATGTGCCATCAAGTCATCTCCAACTTATGGCCACCCTATGAACAAATGCCCACCAAAAGGTTATGTCCTTGACATCCCTATACTTATACCTTACAGGCAGAAACTTAACAGGTGCAGCATTCTACTCTCACGTGGCAAATTGCAAAGTCACCTTTTCCACATCGCCGAGCCCCTCCGTATCCAGAAGGACGAGGGTCTGGCTGGGCTGCTTGGGGTGGGGAATGCACCACATCCAGATACCTTTGGTGTTGGCTTGCACCTTAGAGCCCAGTGCAAAACCTGCATGTGGAGAGAATCGCATGTTATACAGCTGCACATGAATAAACCTGAAATGTATCAGTGGTAGTATCTGGGGTTCCCACCCGTTTTCTTGAAAGGCTCCAGTGACTTTAGCAGCTTGGGGCGGGCAAACTTCAAAAAGAAATATTTTTCTCCAGCATGGAAATGTTGGGATAGGGAAAGCTGCAGCTGCTGGATTTCTGTTTTTTTCATAGTCAAGGCATGGAAGCCCCTTCAAGAAAAAAGCTGACATCTCTAGTTGTTGTTTTTAGAGGGGGAAACACACACGCATTTTCAAGTACAGGCACACCTGATTAAAACCCACCAGCTAAAGGTTGCCGTCTTAGAACAGTCGAGGAAATACTGACATTTCTGGAAGTAAGGGCCAAATCAATGCCGGGAACTCATGGACTACCCTGGGGCATGGAGCTACGGGCATTTCTGGGGGGTTCGTTGGAAAGGCACAGTCTTGGTCTGCCCATCTGAGCAGATCACCATCCATCTGAGGACCATCTTGCTCCCGGCGGCTCCAGATATCCCAGTACTTCCTTTTTCTCTTGGTCCACATCATCTCTCTCTTTCCCTTTCTCTCTCTCTCTCTCTCTCACCTGAGGTCTTGCCAGCCAGCTTGTTCATGAGGTAGGACTTGCCCGTGCGGTACAGTCCCACAATGGCCACCACCACCACCGGCTGGTGGATTTCAGACAGCAGCTGCAGGGCCTCTTGACAAACACGGAACTCCTTTCCCCTGTTCTCGATCAGGCACATGGGAGTTGGCATGTGGATAGTTGACACCATTGTAGGAGGCCTGGAGGAGCAGGTGGGGGTGAAGGCAGGCAACAAGGGAGACAGAAACGGACACAAGGGTTTTCCATGGAAGCTTTGCGCGCACGCACACGCACGCACACACAATTCCTAACAGGAGCTCACTGGCTTGAGTTTAATGGCTAGTGCACGTACCCAATGGAGGACAAGGAAGCCTGCAATAACCAGCAACAGGGGCCTTTCCAAACGCGAGAACTCCACCGCCTGGCGGAGGGCCTCCTTGCAATGACACCGAAGGCCCTAAGCACCTTTCCGGTCTTTTCCTCCTTAACAATTTTTCCTACAAGAGAGAGAGCAGTGGGAAAAGAGGAGAGGAGCAATTTCCATCAACGGAGCGGGCTGCTTGCTCGGCGCGAACCTCGTGAGCAAGCGCATTTGCGGGGCACGCAGCGTCTCCCTCCGCGGCCTCCCAGCCATTTGGTTGGCTGGTTTCTTCAGCGCAGGGGAAGTCAGCCCTTCCAGTCCTGATCCGAGCGCGAAGTTCCTCGCTGCTGAAAGCGAGCAGTGGCCTCGGTACAGCGGAGGGGAAGCGCTTCGGGCACAGCCGTCAGGCCCGCAACGCGCCTTCGTGCCGCCTCGAGCAGCGGGACTCCTCGTCGTCCCAACCGGCTGTGCGCTTCGAGCAGAGCGTCCAAAGAAGCACCTCCCGCCCCTTCGCCCCCGACGCTTCCAGACAGGGCTCCATCCAGCCCAGGGGCCGGGAATTTCGGCGCCGGAAGCCAGTCGGATGTCCGGAAAAGGACCCACCACCCGCAGCCCGAATTAGTTGGGGAGCGGATAAACAATAAAGGCAGCCTCCGCTGGCGCGCCCCTGCCTCCCCGCTGCACTGGCCGTCCGATCCTGTGGGCACAGTTGCGCAGAGGTAGGAGCTAGCTTTCCTCCCAGCCGAGGGCGCACGGGAGTCTCCCCGTCGCCCGTGGAACGCGCGCCGCGCGTTTATTGCCTCTCGCCCACAGCCCCGGCGCAGAAAGCCCGGGACCGGGGCTGGAGTTTGCATCGGGTCCGCTCCTTACCTTCCCTGCAGTCCAAACCTACGACGGGGGCTCTCTCCGATCCAGCCGTTTCTCTCAGAAGCTGCTAGGGAAGGCTTTCCGTTAAGCTTCGAAAGTGAAAGGGAGACTTCAGTTGACAGAAATGGTGCACCCCGCCCGATTCTGGCGATAATGGACCCGCAGCATGTGGTTTCCAAGAGGCCGGGGACTAGCCCAGGTCAAAAGGCAGCCAGGAACCATCTCTGGTGGGAACCGGAATCGGATAGGTGCTCATTTGGTAATTTTACCGCGGTCAGATTTTATTAAACTTACAGCCCCCTTTTGAGTGCTAAGCATCTGTATGTTTGTGTTTTCCCTCTGGTTTTGCATTCTTAGGGGTTTTTCGCTGGTTTTGCTGAAAGACCATAAAAATCAAGTAACAACTATAAATTAACAAAGCACACAACTGGCATCTTCTCCCCCCTTGCCTTAACCATTCACTTCTCTGCCTGTGTAAACCAACAAGCAAACTCGTTTGGCACTCTTGAATTTTATATATGCAGACAGAGATCTCTGATCATTTTTAACCTCACTTAACTCAATTCTGGGAGTTCGGGGCAGTGGCTGGATTTGATATTTTCCAACATGCGGGGCTGAGTGCTTATCCTGAGGGCTCCCAGTGGCCACTCTGGCTCTGTCATCTGGATGTCTGGGGACCCTGCTCCCACGTCCCATCACGGCTGGGACCATGTAGGTGCCACAGCTTCAGTACTGTGCTTCGCCACCCTCCCCTCCTCACCTGCCTTCTGCTGCACCTTGACAGATGAGAAATCTAGAGGCGGCAAAGCCTGGCCCCTTTTGTGCCTGTGCTGGCCCAGGTGCCATTCTCAGGCAGCGGGGTCCTTTGAAGCTCCCCAGGCTCCGGCCCCTTAATTTCAGCCCTGTGGTCAAGCCCCGGCTGCACCCCTGCAAAGCACTTTCTGCCCCTAGATCTGCAGGCATCAAGAACTGCTGCACTTCTGAATGGGCAGGTGGGACTCAGGAGCTAAAAACAAAGGTGGAGAGGCTGCAGAAAGGGGGGCTGCTGGTTTATTTTATTTATTTATTAAAACATTTCTATGCCGCCCCATTCGCCGAAGCCGCGGGGCGGCTCACAACATAAAGTTAAAATACAAAAAATAACAATATAAGTATTTTAAGTGGTTGCAGGTGAGCCTCCCTTTTCTTGGCTTATTCGCTTGATTTATCACAGGGTGCTTAACTCTCGGTGGTGGCAGCTGGTACCAGTTGGCTCTGCATCACCAGGAGCGCTTGCAGGCACCAGCTCATCACAGCCGAACATCAGCAAATGAGGCCTACCCTCACCTCCTAGTCCTGAACTGTAGCGCTACGGACAGGGTCTGAGAAGAAGCCTGTCCTTATGGACTGTATTACTTCCATGTCACTTAGATTTTTTTTTCAGTTGGGTGGATTCTTTGCCTCTCCCAACCACACCCTTTCCCTTCTGTTCAATAAATGCTACTGTGCCTTTTCGAAGTTGCGCAACAAGCAGCTACATCTCAACATCTCCCTTTTGCAATCAAAGACCATATAGGGCAGATCTCACTTTGACAGCTACCAAGAGGATGCAAACAAACCCCCCACTGGAGTTTTCCTTAGCAGGTATTCCCAGGAGCGCTGGCCGTCCAAGGTTTCCGACATGACATCTTCACTTACTGAACAGCATGTCTCTGCAGTTGCACAATCGAGCATTAAGAACAGAATGATCATATGTGCATACATTTTGTATGCAAATTTTCTTTAAAAAAATCATGAACTACAGACAGTCTCTCCGATGCTGAAGGAGCTATCCAAACAAGGATTGCAAAAGCTAACTTTCAGGTCGGTTTTCATAGTCTCTGAGGCAGGGCAAGAGTAAAGGGCAAAAGATCCCACAGGCAGAAAAAGGTTCCCAGTCGCAGCAGGAACAGGAGAGACAAATCAGCACTGCCAGCATTCAGTCAGTTCTCCCACCGGGGCCAGCGGTTGGGTGACCGAAGAAGAGGAGCTGTGCCTTATTACGCATGTAACACTTTTCAAAACAGAGAATGCTCTTTGGCATACACATTTGTATGTTTGTCTTCACAGCAGCATCACAAAGGAAGAAAACGAGCAGAACAGAGGTACCTCAAGTCAGACATCATTTTATTTCTAATTTAAGCAACATCCTCCATGCCAAACCAAATACATTTCAGTGCGTATTTCAGTATAATTCTCTTCATTTGTTCGTTTAACAGGCTTTTGCTCTCTCTGCTCAGTTCCCTAGGACAACACCCATTGAAATTTGTGGGATATACTTCTGGAGGTTCTCAATTCTATTTTGACATTTATACTATTCCTCATGATAATTTATAAAATGGTTTGCAGATTTAAAAAAAAGAATAGGAAACATACATTAAACCACCAGTATTTTAAAAACAGCGTTCAAACCAACAGCTCGATTAGTTCATTTCTCCAGATATTTTCATTTTCAACTCCCATTACTTCTAGCCAGCCTAGCCAATCAATGAGAGATGCTTGTTGTAGGCCAGAACTTCCAGAAGGGCACAATTTCCACACCTACAAGCAGATAATATTCAATAAAATGTGCAAATGCAACGGAAGGTACCCTGCAAGTTGGCAAAACGGAGCTACAAGCACTGGCCAGGATACAGCCAAAAACGGGACATTTCCCAGGAGCTGGAAGGCCCTTGCTTGGTTGACCATCCCCTGCGCCTGCCCCAGGCAGGGACCATGACCAGGGCCCCCTCCAGAGAGCAAAATGGTCAGACTGGCACATAGTAAGACGAGCGCTCCAACAACTACCGGGGCCCCTGAGGTCTCGCTGGCCTTGTGCCCCCTCATCAAACCTTGCAGTAAGCTCAGGAGTGAGTGTGCTGTCCGAGAGGCAGCAACTGGAGCCCCTGCACCATTCAGAGGGAATTAAGAATTCCTAAGGGTTGCTGGGAATATGGGAGAGCCAGACCCAGGCCAGGGATCAGGAAAAATTTCCTCTGTGTCAGAGCAATACCATGGAACCAGTTGTCTAGAGAGAACATGGGCTCTCCCATGCTGGAGACATTCAAGAAGGAAATGGACAGCCACCGGAGTGCTGTGGTATAACCTGATGGCCTGTGACCGCAGGGGGATGATCGATGGCCTTCCTGGCCCCTTCCAACTCTGCTATTCGAGGATTCTGTGAGTACAGCAGCAGGCCGGGGTGGAGCCAATGCTTCCTGGACAACACCTGAGCCAACTGTGAGGGCCTTCCCCATCTCAGCACCTTCATGGATTTGACAGAGATGGTCCAAAGGGAGTCTACGTCCTTTAGCAGCTGATCGAGTGTCATGAAGGATGGCAACAGATCAAAGCCTTGAGGAAAATCCATCTGGAAGTTCTCCTGCACAAGCTGCGGTGATGTCAAAACCGGCTTTCCAAAGGTGAAGCACTGGAGAACTCCATTCAATGGAGTTTAGCAGGAGGAGAACTTCCTAGTGGAACGTGGCCCATTAATTAACCTGAGCGATTACCACCAGGGTATTCTGCCCTACTTACAACACCAAGAAGCTCACGGGGAAATAGATGGTAGTGTGCACACGCTGCAGCTTGATAGTTTGGTGTACTTGACTCATTTCTGGCTAGTAAACCTCACAACTAAGCAAGTGGTTAGAGCTGTTTTCCCCGTGAACAAACCCAATAAACTATCCACTCAAGCTGATACCACTCTCATGGCAGAAAGTGAAGAGGAACTAAAGAGCCTCTTGATGCGGGTGAAGGAGGAGAGTGCAAAAGTTGGCTTGAAACTCAACATTAAGAAAACTAAGATCATGGCATCCGGTCCTCTCACTTCCTGGCAAATAAATGGGGAAGAAATGGAGGTAGTGACAGATTTTATTTTCCTGGGCTCCAAGATCACCATAGATGGGAACTGCAGCCAAGAAATTAAAAGACGCTTGCTCCTGGGGAGGAAAACTATGGCAAATCTAGACAGCATACAAAAAAGCAGAGACATCACCCTGCCGGCAAAAGTGCATATAGCCAAGGCTATGGTTTTCCCAGTTGCAATATATGGCTGTGAAAGTTGGGCCATAAGGAAGGCTGAGCGTCGAAATTGAGGACTTTGAATTGTGGTGCTGGCGGAGTCTCCTGCGAGTCCCTCGGACCGCAAGGCGATCAAACCGGTCAGTCCTAGCGGAGATCAACCCTGACTGCTCTTTAGAAGGCCAGATCCTGAAGATGAAACTGAAATACTTTGGCCACCTAACGAGAAGGAAGGACTCCCTGGAGAAGAGCCTAATGCTGGGAACAATAGATGGCAAAAGAAGACGGGGATGGCAGAGGATGAGGTGGTTAGATGGAGTCACTGAAGCAGTGGGTGTGAACTTGAGTGGACTCCGGGGGATGGTGGAGGACAGGAAGGCCTGGAGGAGTGTTGTCCATGGGGTCGCGATGGGTCGGACACGACTTCGCGACTAACAACAACAAGCTGAAGGCAACTTTAGAAGGTTCCATTCCATGGACAATCTGAATGTCTTAATTTCATCATCTTATGATGCAGACTTAGCGTTATAGTATGTAGAAACAACACCAGTACCTGCTAAATACTGATCCAGTAAGCAAGATCTCGTGTTGTTTGGAACAGCAGTCAGTCAGTGCAAAGATACAGTGAATTCACCACAGGCAAAGACATGCCTGAGAAATAATGACACAATCTCAATATAGTGCTGGAAAGGGGGTGTTATCGCCCCATTCCCTCCCTAAAACCCACCCACATGACCTACATGGTTGGGCAAAGTCTCAAAGCTCAGTTTCCACCTCCAAAGTCCTGGGCAGTGTTTCTTATCCGCTCGCTTTCAAAGAAGCCACTTTAAGCAATCACGCAGCTAGAGGAACGCTTTTCGTGAATCTTGTTTCTCAGGCTTTGGATCTCACGATGAAGCCTGGAAACTTCTTCTCGATGGCCTTCTTGCTGAAGCCGGGTCTGCTCCTAGTAGGGGGAAATGTAGAACAATGTAGGCAAAGCTGGGAGTGGTAGGAAGGGGGAATCTGTAAATATTTTGTAGGTGTATACATGTATGTGTACACACACACACACAGAGAGAATTGAGCTGAGCCAGTATTTCCAGCATTTCCTGCTAGCTAGAATATAATTATCCTACAGATTTTCCACTTCTCAGAAACTTGCAATGTAATTCTACGCCCCCAAGAGCTATTTTTAAGAAAGAATATTTTTGCATAAAAGCCATTGATAAATGTCTATGTTGTGGAAATATATATACAAGCATACTAATGTAAGTATGGATGTCTGTGCGAATTTTAAAAAAAGAATAGCGGCTGAATGCAGAAACAGAAGAAAATGAACTCGACCAACCAAACTGCCATGGGCTGGGCATATTCTGAGCCATCCGCCCTTATGCATAACATTTTACCAGGACTGTAACTACCAACTAACATACTATGCACCTCATCTTAAAGACAGACGAATTCTGAACGTTTTACTTGCATGTTCCATTGCTGGAATTCTGACTTGCCTTCCCTCCTGCATCCTTTTTTCCTCTTTACATTCTTCTGAACACTTGGCCAGTTGCCATTATTGTTCCTTTTGATGTGCATCTCTTAATGCACCAAAAGGAGCCCAGTCGGACGATCTCCGGTGTGTTAAGTAAAGCACGCAAGCTATGCCTTTTCTGCAAACTGCAGTCTTGTGTCCCCCAGGCCCAGCAATGCAAATTGGCGCTAAGGATCTGGAACCCTCTGGAAGGAAAAGCTCGTGCTTATGTGTTGGCTGTTACTCTTCCTGGTCCTTTTGTACACTTGTGGGTTCCAAAATGGAACATGTCGGGATGGTGAGGGCTCTTACCAGAAGCTTCTGGTTCAGGCTTATCTGAAATTCATCTGTTAATTTTTTCCTGTCCTCTTCCATCTTGGCCATTAACTGCCTTTTGTGCTCCTCGTGGCTCCGCTTCATATCCTGGATCAACTGCTCATTCTGCTCATGGCGCTTTTTCTGCGCCTGAGCCTCACGTTCGGCAGCTTCGGCACGGGCTCTCTCCGCTAAAGAGAAAACAACACAAGGGTGTCTAAGAGGTGGCCTTGGCTTTTCTTCAGTCTGGTAAGATTAGGTCTCCAGGCTGTGACTTCTTGCCACAGTGCTGAGCAAGGCTGTCAAAATATAACACCAAAGTAAAAACCAGCAGCAACAGAAAGATTTAAAAGCAACAGCCCAAACTGGAACATGAAAATGCCCGGGTTCACCTTCCATCTCCTTCTGTTTGCTTGTGAGGTTCTTATCAGCCTGCAGAATGGAGTCGGCTGCACCTTCCTTGGATTTCAGGAAATCGTGCAGGGCCTTGGAAGCCTGTGGGGTACAGGGAGAGAGTGAGGGGGTTCCCTTGGCTTTGTGTTCCTTTTCGGAGCTTTGTATACAAAGCACACGCCCTCAGATTCGCTTTGCAAAGGGCTGAGCCAGAGTTTCACACAAGCATCCAGGTTGCTGGGCCACATACCATGTTTCCTTTATTAGCCACCCTGAAATACGCCTCGATCACTTCTTGCTGGTCAGCCTGGAACCGTTGGTAGCCGCCAGCCACAGCATATGCCCCCCTGGAGATCCTCTCTTCCACTTCTTGGAACAACTCACAAAGCACAGCCAGGCAGCGATCCAAGGAGACCTGCTCGTCCCGAAGGCAGAGCTCCTCAAGTTTTAACTGCAGCTGGTTCTGTAGGACAGGAAAGGCAAGACAGGCTGTGACGCAAGTTCCCCAAACAGTCCCCTAAATCCAAAGCTTTGGAACAAAGGTTACGGGTCTTTGCCTTCCCTCCATCACAAGTAACTGGCCTGATCGTGATCAGCCTCTCCTGAACTAGCATGCAACTATTTGTCATATAGATTTGCCACGTCTTAGAATTTTCTGAAGCAGTTAGCAAAATTGCACTAGCTTATAGTTGGTTTCTGGGCCCAATTCAAGATACTGATTATTGCTGATAAACAGCTCACCATCACAACACTGGAAGGACCACCTCCAGTGGGAGGCTGCCCATCCACCGCAGCATCACCAGGTGCCCTGCTTGGGTCGCCTGCATCTGGACAGGTGTGACTGCTGGGGATACGGGACGGGGCCTTTTCTGTGGCAGCCCCCAGTTGCCAGATTCCCTCCCAAGAGACTAGGCCCTTCCGTGTTTCCCTTCACACGGACAGCCACAGCACTTCGTTCTGTGGGCCTTTTCATGTGTGTGAATTTCTGCTAGCTGTGGCTTGGTCTGTCTCTTTTCTCGCCGCTTGAACTGCTCTCTTTAATCATACTGATGGAAACGGCCTCAGGGACTCTTCCCAGGGAAGATGGAGGAGCTGTACAAAATGGCCGCACACCCTCAGCTTGTGCTGGTGCTGCTGGTTCTCATCTCTGAAGGCATGGTTCAGGAACACCTGGATGGCCTCTTCCTCGCAGCGAGCGTGCACGGCCAGCAGCTCCGTCATGTCCTCCGCGGGCAGCACCGACAGGAGCTGTACCATCTCGTCGTAGCGCTCCAGCCCCTCGCGCACAGCAGCCGCGTTCTCCGCCTGAGCCAAGGCCAGCACCGCATTTTCAATGCAAGGGACGGCTCCGCGGCGGATGGCATCCACGTAGGTCTCGGCCAGGCCCCCCAGCACTGCAAGAAAGCGACGGCATGCCTGTCTGCACGGGATTTCTGTCCGGCCTCCTTCTGAGCGCTTGAGGAAGCAAGAGCACTGAAACCCCTCTTTTCATCCAAGGTGCAGGTAAACATGCCAGAATCATTTGGCAGGCCAAAGGCAGGAAGGGATGGGCCAAAGCACTCCCGCTGCCAGTACATCAGCCTCAGAAGAGGCATTTCCACCTCTGGCTGATGGACTGCGTTATGTTATATTATTATAAATAAATTATATTTATTATCCCATTTTCCCTTTCAGGGAAGCTCACGTAATTCTACGCCTCCGTCTTTTCCCCACGGCAACAGCCTTGCGAGGTAGGCCAGGCTGCAAGTCTGTGCCTGACCCGGAGCTCCATGGCTGAGTGAGGACTTGAACCCAGACCTCCCGAGTCCCCCTGGAGATAAAAACTGCAAAAGCCAAGAAGCCACCAAATAGGCGGTCAGAGAAAGGGGTGTCAATTTCCGGGGAATCCCAGATGGTCACAGCAGGACCATGCGTGAGCTGGATTTGGCCCATGGGCCTCAGGTCCAGTACCACCGGGCCTGAACCATCCCTCGCTCATGCACGATGGGAAGCACTAAAAGCCCAACACGGAGGGCTCACACCAAGCCTGGGATCCCCCCAGAGGTTCATGCTCCGTCTTTCCCACCGCCCGCAGTTCTCCCAGGGTCTTTCCCTGCTTTCTCGGCTGCCCCCACTCACTTTTCCCTGTCACCGGGGGTCCCCCTTGGATCCCTTTGGCTGGAGCATTCTGGAGAACGTAGTCACAGAAATGGCGAGCTTGCTGCAGGAACTCTGGGTTCAGCTTTGATTCGGGCAAATCCTCCAAGCGCTCCAAATCCTTTCTTTCAGCGGGGCGGTCGAAGACAAAGCACTTGCGGCAGGGGAAATATTGCCGTAGGAACTTCTTGGGAAGGTCACGCTTTTCGGTGGCGTCTGGGAGAGAGTCAAGCACAGGCAGCCCATTCAGCTGGATGGCACGGGCCAGTCCACACGCAACCGCTTGCCCAAGCCACACCCACGGGCCCATCCAACGCAGGATCGCCATCAGCCAGAACTCTGTGTATTTGGTGGTCCACTGACTAGTCAAATACTTCAAAAAGATTAATGGCATTAGCATACAGAAGGCATTTTTATCAGCAACAGTTTGATACCTAAGCTAGTCACAGAAACACATTAGCTCACTTTTTATTGTGAAACCTAAACATTTTTTTTAAATTAAAATTTTTAAAAGACTTTAAAAATATGCAATATGTTATTGCCAACTGCTTATCCCCACAGTGGTCCAAATACATATTAAGTAGGTGATAATTTGTTGCCCCCTAATTGTACTCTAGAATCGATATTCTTTTGACATTCAGAGTACCTTGCTCCCAGAACTCTGGCTAGAGATGGCCTGCCCAACTGTAGAGCCAGCCTTTCTCTACTAAGCTGAGTCTAATCTTTCAGCCATCTTGTGCTAACCTTGCCAATGCCTTGCTTATCTCCAGGCATGCCTGCTCTTCTGTTTTTACCCACAAATGTATTGATGAAATCTCCTTAAGGACAGGGGAAGGAAAAACGGTCTGCAGAAACTGGGAACTGACTCCGTCCCAGCTTGCACGTCCACGTAATCTACTCTTCTTTGAAACCCTTGGGTTGTTGCACATCAAGGGTGCCCGGGTTTTTGGACTGGTAGAAATGTGGGATTTTGGAAGGAGAGCTGTGGGTGCTTTTACTAAATGGCTGTGATGGAGGGAAGGCAAACACATTCATAAAATGGCTCCCAAGGTGGACATAGCCAGTCAGAAAATGTGTGCTTAGCAGAAGGCTAACAGAGATGGTTAAAAAAAAAAAAGTCACATAGAAAAAACAGGGATTACACAAATGTATGAACGTTCAATACCCCAGATTGCCTAAGGCAGGGTGGGCAGAAAGGAAATTTCCAGATGTTTTGGACTCCAACTCCCAGAAGCCCCTACAAGCTTGGCCAATGGCCAGGAAGTTGGGAGTTGAAATACTAAACATCCAGAGATCGACTTTCTGCCCAACGCTGGCATAAGAAATGACTAACCAGAATGTGGCTAGTTCCACATATATACCTTTTTAGACCAGGTATGATCATGACTGGGGATGCTGTCATATTCGGGGCCTGCGTGCCAAAGATGCCTCTTCTCTCAGTTTACCTTAGCAGTGCTCTTTTCTACCATCCTCACTGATAATGCGATAAGAAGGACCTCCTCTTGTTCTCGTCAGGGTTGCCACACCTTCTAAGAAGGCGGTGCTGATGCGCTCGCTGGAGTAGTCTGCTGCTAGCTGTGAGATAGTTGTGAGCAGACCGTTGTGAATGCTCCCAAAACGACCGAATGCCGCTCTCCTGGCGCACACACCACCTCTGGCTGTTCACATGCCAAGCAAGGTGCATCCCCAACCCCTCCCTGTTGTCTTGGATTGAGCCCAAATCCTCCGAGAACTCAAGCTTCAGAAGTTAAAAGGCCGGACCTACCAACTGCAATCCCGCCAGCTCTTCAAATTACCTTTCCCTCTCTGCAAGGCCCTCTCCAGATACTCGTCCTCAGTGAAAGACTCTCCATTCTCCTCTTTAAGCTGCAGCGTGAAGTCCCGCACAACCCAGATGAAACTTGGGAAGAACATGGCAAGGTCGCCGAAAAGCCTGTCCGCTGTTTCACCGTCTGTCCTGGCCGAGGACCTCAGCTTGATGTGCTCCGTTATTTCGGTTACATAGCTGGGAGTTGGACTAAGGAAATGGCAGTGCAGGGGCAATAACTTCTCAATGTTACTCATTTGCCTAGGCATTCAAATCCGCAATGTCTATTCTATGGCCATAAGGCCAGCAGAAGTCTGCCTCTCCCATCCTATTTCCCCACGATGCATTTTTCCTAACTCTCACTTCCCGTTTTCCCCCTCGTTCAGAAAGATTTTAATTCACTTTATTGTGAAATGTATTGTATTGCTGTTCCAATGAACTGAAGAGGACTTGTACAATTCCCGTTCTCCTCTCAGCCTTATCCCTACAACATCGACCCTGTGAGGTCGGGTGGGTTGAGGACCGCAGCTGCGCTAGCCAGACCTCCCGCGTCTCAGGCCTGCGCTCTTCACCACTCCATCGCACGGATATACCTTGGGCATCTGGAGGCAGAGTGAGACTGTACAGATATGGCGGTTATTAAAGACGCTCTTAAGCCGTCAAACAGCCTTCCTTCCATAAAGCCCCATGTGAGGTTCTCATTCCAAACACCCTCTTTAAGTTTGGCTTCATCCTGGGACAATTGGTGTCTCCCTCCTTTAACGGCATTTCATTCTTCATGGAAAAGGGTTCCTTTTCCCAGTTTTTAGAAGGGATGAGGAACCACAATAGGAGACTGGAGATGGACGAAAGCCCCATGTAGGCAAAGCATTAACAGGGTAGCAACCCAGGTGCCTCGCCTACAGAACGTGCCAGCTCCGAGCACCAGTATCTCCTGAGAGCCCGGCTGGATCGGGGCGAAGGTCCATCGAGTCCAGCATTGTTTTCACACACAGGCCTCCCTCAGAAACCCACTAACGGGTCACGAACGGACCGGTACCTTGCATCTGGTATATATAGGCGTAGTGTTTCGGATCCTGAGCTTAGCATACAGGCAGCATGGTGTAGGGGTTAAGAGCACGGGGCTGGGACTCAGGCAATCCGGGTTCGAGTCCCGACTCAGCCGTGGCACCAGCCGAGTGACTCTGGGCCAGCCACAGACCCTCAGTCCAGCCTACCTCACAGGGTTGTTGTGCTGGGACTAAGACTGAGAGCAGGAAGAGGAGAAGGCTGCTTTGAGTTCTTTAGAAAAGGGAGAGGTGGGATATAAATCAAATAAATAAATGCCCTTCAGGACTAGCTGTCTGCAGGGAAGATCAGAGAAGAGCCACTGCAAGCAACACTGCGTTGGAAGGGCCAGGAGTGCATCCTGGGATACCGTGGCTTCCTCGGCTCCTATCATGGTGCTCTGTGGCCCCACGGGACCAGGGGGTTTGGCCCCAGTCCTTGCAGAAAGATACTGCAGCTGCTCCAGCGCCTGGTGGTTGATGGTGCCCATGCTGTTGTACACGAAGGTGCTGCAGAGCAGAATGGAGAGGGCGAATATCCACGAGTCGTTCTCAGTGTTGCTCTGCAAAGAGGGACGCACACGTTCAGCAGAAACAGTGGGCACAGCAAGGTGCTGCAAGGGCCCTCCGGGGACGGGCCGGTGGCTCCCTCTCCCCGATTCCTGGCATCCTGGCGTGAGGCATCCTTGGAGGCTTCAGTTATAGTGGGAGTAGTCTAGATCTCCGTCCTTCCCTTGCAGGAAAAGCTTCCACAGTGGCCTCCCCTGGCCTGGCCACCAGCCCTGTGCCCCCGACTCACCTTCTCGACATCACCGAGCCCTTCGGTGTCCAGCAGCACCAGCGTGTGGCCAGGCCTCAAGGGGTGTGGGCGGCACCACATCCAGATGCCCTTGGTTTTGGACTGCACCGTGGCCCCCAGAGCAAAACCTGCATAGGGAAGAATTCCCAAGGGGAGGGAGATCAGGTTTGAGGGCATCCAGCTCTGCGGCTTTTCAAAAACGGCAGATCTGCACGGAGAAGCTTGCTCAGTCTAAGGGGCAAATTCCAATCTGGGGAAGTTCTCGGGAGGTTGACTCCATCTGTGGGCAGGGCCAAAAGCCAAATCAACAATCAGTGTGGTTCTAAGGTATTAAAAGTCTACTCAGAAGTAAGAAGGACTGAATTACTCAACAGCTTTCTTCTAATTATGGGTGTTGGAGAAATCCATAATTTTTTAACATGGGGGATTTGCACAAAGGCATACTTGTGCTGGTGCAAAAAAGGCAATTCTTAGTTGAAAAAGTGATTGTATCAATAAGTGGGCAGTGGAAGGAAAGATGTCTGACAGTCTATAAGACACAGAGAGCACAGGGTTTTAAAAATCCGTATGTCCCTACTCCCAGTGTCTCACCAGAAAACTCTTATCTTCCAATCAGCAGACAACAGGAGATAAGAGCATCTCCAGGCTGCAAAGTGAAAAAGGCTCATTTTCTCAACACAAGGCAAAATGTAGATCTTATCCCCATCAGATTCTGAGTAGGAGATAAGATCCTACGTGTCCTATGCTGTCCACCAGCCAGAGATTCCCCATTTCCTGTAGCAGGTATGAAAGGAAGGTGGTACTCGTCTCCAAATTCCTTCGTGGGAGGCGGAATGGGTGGGCACCCATCCTCATTTAAGCCCTTCGTGGACTGCAGGGAAGAAAGAGACACGACGCTGTGCCCTTTGTCCTCACCTTTGTTCTTGCCAGCCAGCTGGTTCATGAGGTAGGACTTGCCCGTGCGGTACAGCCCCACGATGGCCACCACCACCACCGGCTGCTGGATGCTCTGCAGGAGCTGCAGAGCTTCCCGGTTGACCTGCAACTTTTCACCGGGCTTGTTTTCTATAAGGCACATTGGGGCATCCATATCGCTTGCTTGGGCCAAAGAAAGGAAAGCCAGGGAAGGAGGCTCAATATCTTGAGGAACCTGAGGAGAGTAAACATCCAGGATAAGAACGGAGGCACGGCTGGGTTCTGAATTTGAGAGAGAGCAGCGGTTGGCTGTTTGTTCTCACCTCCTCTGCTGCCTGGGATGGAGGGGACCAGTGCAGGTGATCAGACAGGCTGGAAGGGGGAAGGGGGCAAGCACCTCTCGGTGGCTCTGGGCGGTGTTCCCTGCGAGAGTGTGGCCTCTCCATGCTGACCTTGACAGCAAACATTAGTATTTCAGTCATTATTACACTGTATTTGCATCCTGGCTTTCTTCCTCTTGCAAGGAACTCGCAAGGTTCTCCTCTTCTCCCTTTCAACCTCGCAACAACCACCCTGCAAGGCAGGCCAGGCCAAGAGGCAGTGCCTGGCCCAAAGTCCCCCAGCGGCCTTCATGGCTCAGCGAGAGCCAGGTCCCCGATTCCCCGAGTGCCCGTGCAGCGCTCTTAACCTCTGTACCACACGGGCTCTTCCCACGGCCCTGGCGTGTCCCTCTTGTCCTCCCTCCATCCTATCGCAGCCTATCTGGTGTTGAGGACCCCCAGGATGTTGGTCCTGGGGGACTTCAATCTCCATGCCGAGGCTAGTCTGACCGGGGCGGCTCAGGACTTCATGGCCTCCATGACGGCCATGGGGCTGTCTCAACATGTCACCGGCCCCACCCATGAACGGGGACACACTCTGGACCTGGTTTTCTCGACGGGGCAGGAAGAGGGTGGTCTGAGGGTGAGTAATTTATGCTTGACTCCCCTGTCATGGTCAGATCACTTCCTGGTGAGGTTTATGCTCGAGAGCGACTTCTCCCTCTGTAAGGGTGCGGACCCGATTATGTGGGTCCGCCCCCGGAGCCGGATGGATCCAGAAGGATTCCTGAAGGCCCTGGGGGAGTTTCCGGCTGACAAGACGGGTGCTCCTGTCGAGGCTCTGGTCGAACTGTGGAATGGGGAGATGACCAGGGCTGTAGACACGATCGCTCCTAAGCGTCCTCTCCCACCGGGCAGAGCCCGCTCTTCCCCTTGGTATACTCCTGAATTGAGGGCGATGAAGCAGGTTGGGAGACGACTAGAGCGTAGGTGGAGGAAATCACGAGATGAATCTGACCGAACACACTTACGAGCCCACTATCGGGCCTATGCTGTGGCGGTGAGGGCGGCAAAAAAGAGATTCTTTTCCGCTTCCATTGCCTCCTCACAATGCCGTCCGGCGGAGCTCTTTCGAGTGGTGCAAGGCCTGGTCCGTCCAGGTCCAAAGGAAGACCTGATTCCACCCTCAAAGGCCCGCTGTGACGACTTTGCCAGGCATTTCAGGGAGAAAATCGCTCAGATTCGTCACGAGCTGGACACCACTATTGATTCAGAGGTTTCAAAGGAGACACCAATGCTGCCGTCTGGTCCAGATTTATTGGATGAATTTCAGTTATTGCGGCCCGATGATGTGGACAAGGTGCTTGGGCGAGTACGTCCAACCACTTGCCTTTTGGACCCTTGCCCGTCTTGGTTAATAAATGATTCCAAGCACGGGATTGGAACCTGGATCTTGGAAGTGGTTAACGCTTCTCTGAGGGAGGGTCGGGTGCCTGCCCCTTTGAAGGAGGCGGTAGTCCGACCGGTCCTGAAGAAGGCGTCACTGGATCCAGAGATGGCCACTAATTATAGACCAGTGGCCAACATCCCGTTTCTGGGCAAGGTGTTAGAACGAGTGGTGGCGGGACAACTCCAAGCACTCTTGGATGAAACTGATTATCTGGACCCATTGCAGTCCGGCTTCAGACCCGGGTACGGTACTGAATCTGCCTTGGTCGCCCTGTATGATGACCTGTGCAGGGAGAAGGACAGGGGGAGTGCGTCCCTGTTGGTTCTGCTGGACCTCTCAGCGGCTTTCGATACCATCGACCATGGTATCCTTCTGGATAGGCTTGCGGGATTGGGGGTTGGAGGCACTGCTTTGCGGTGGTTCCGCTCCTATCTCAATGGCCGGTTCCAGAAGGTGGTGCTGGGGGACTATGGCTCTGCGCCATGGCAGCTATGCCATGGAGTACCGCAGGGGTCCATTTTGTCCCCTTTGCTGTTCAACATATACATGAAACCGCTGGGAGAGGTCATCAGGAGGTGTGGGCTGCGGAACCATCAGTACGCTGATGATACCCAGCTCTACCTCTCGTTTTCCACCAATCCAGGTGAGGCAGTGGCTGTGCTGAACCGGTGCCTGGCCGAGGTAATGGGCTGGATGAGGGCCAATAAACTGAAGCTCAATCCAGACAAGACGGAGGTCCTGTTGGTTGGCGGATCGGGCTTCGGAGAGGGTGAATTGAACCTTGTCCTGAATGGGGTTGCACTCCCTCTTAGGGACAAGGTCCGCAGCTTGGGAGTGCTCCTCGACCCAGAGCTTTCACTGGAAGCTCAGGTAACAGCAGTGGCGAGGAGCGCTTTCCTCCAGCTTCGGCTAATTCATCAGCTGCGCCCCTATCTGGAGAATGACTGCCTTGCGACAGTGACACATGCGTTGGTGACTTCCCGTTTGGACTTCTGTAACGCGCTCTACGTGGGGCTACCCTTGAAGACGGTCCGGATACTTCAATTGGTCCAAAATAGAGCTGCCAGGCTGCTGACGGGGACTGGACGTTATGTTCACATGACTCCAGTTCTCCGTCAGCTTCACTGGCTTCCCATTGAAGTCCGGGCCCAATTCAAGGTGTTGGTTATGACCTATAAAGCCCTAAACGGCTTGGGTCCTGGTTACCTGAAGGAGCGCTTACATCCTTATATGCCCAGCCGCCCCCTGAGATCGGCGGGAGAGGCCCTTCTCCGGGAGCCCTCCATGGAAGAAGTTAGGAGGGTGGTTACTCGGAGGAGGGCTTTCTCAGCGGTGGCGCCTAAGTTATGGAATGCGCTCCCCAGAGAGGTCCGCCTGGCGCCGTCGTTATTTGTTTTTCGGCGCCAGGCGAAGACCTTTTTATTTAAGCAGTATTTTAAATGTTAATATTATTGAATTTTATTTGGCCAGGGCGGCTTGTTTTATAGTGTATGTTTTATATTATATATTTGTATTTTATTGTATATATTTTAAAATGTTATTTTAATTTTTTGTTGTAAGCCGCCCCGAGGCTTCGGCGAATGGGGCGGCATAAAAATGTTTTAATAAATAAATAAATAAATAAATAAATATCTGCTGGGGTGTTCTCAGCTAAGTTCCCACTTCAGACTGAAATTTATACTGCTCTCTAACTGAATATGGCTGACAGGTAAACAGAGCACCAGGAGCCCAGTACCGATGCTACAGGTGCTTCTGATCCTTTCAAAATTGTGCTCAGAGGGATAGGCTGATTCCGAGACAAGGCGTTCACAAGCTGTTCCAGCCACCTGCACAAAACTGAAAGACAAGACAAGACAAAACTGTTGCAGGTTGTATCCGCCTCACCATTAATCTCTTATCTAACCATTGGGGTAACAGGACAAAGAATAGACTGGCCAGGTTTTGTGCCCTTGACCACAGAAGGATCTGAAAAATTCAGCAGGCAAGCCCTTCTACCCGATCACCCATTTTCCACCCTCCTGACAAATGAGTCAACATCGATCATGGTAATATTACTATTCAACCACCTTCCCCGACCCAGTGAAGCCCAGGCTGAGGAAGGCGGAGGGTGCAGGGACTTCTCCAGTACTTCTGGAGAGGACCAGGTTGGAGAAGGGCCAGAAAAACGGGAGCTGAGGTCCGACACATCTGGTGGGAGTTCCTAGATGCCGGGGGAGAGGAAGAAGCAAGAAAGGGACGGTGGACAACCTGTGTGAGCCATGCGGCCTGCCCTGCGCAGCCTTGAGCTAGGTGGCCACCGTGGAGAGCAGTAAAGGACCCGGTGTGACGCAGGTCCAGCTGGTAGACATAAAATGACATGCGCCGATCTCCTGTCCTTTGATCTGGACAGCCAAGTGTCTCAGGCCTGCACTGCCTATGAAGGAAGATGCTTCGATCCCCTCCATGCAAGGAAAACCTTGGACTTACTGCCCCCATTGGCGTTCCTCTTAGGCCCCTTGCTCAGAATGTATTGTTTGAATGCCCCAAGCTGCTTCCGGAAAGTGGGATGCAGCAGGTCTGAAGAGAAAAGATTCCAATCCTGTTCATCCACACATGGGCAGTGGAAACAGAAGGCCTTCCGAGAGGGAAACTGCTGCAGTATGGAATAGGCCAGTGTGTCCTTCAAATCTGGAAGTGAAACATGCAATAAGAAAAGCCGAGCATCAGACAACCCAAAAACCCCCAGAGGTTTTACACAGAAATCTCCGTATCTGCCCACTTTCTGTGCCAGTCACTGCCAGCTGCAGCTCTACTGAACCTCTAAAGCAGTTCCCTCTCCCCAGAGTACTCTGAGGCTGCAGGTGGACAAGGACACCGTTTCAGGAAGAATTAAGCTTCCCCATTTACTTGAAGCCCATTTCCCTCTCATTCCCTCTGGTTTTTAATATGGGTTTTATTGTTGACTGATTAAGAATTTGATTAGGATGCTGTGTTTTACTTTGTCTTATTGTTAAACCGTCCCAAGACTACAGTAAGGGACGGTCTAAAAAAGTTTTTAAATAAATAAAAGTTCGTCTAAGTAATATAATTGGTGGACATATAACACAGCTAATACTGTTTTTAACCATGTGTTTTAGCAATGGCCAATACGTGCCTCTTTTTCAGAGCAGGTTATTCCATGGATAAACCTTGCAATGGAACAATCTTGAATATATATGAATGTACATATCCTATGAGATTGTCTGTTTCCTTGCAACTAACACATGATCAGCACAGGAGGAGTCTGGGCTCTTCTGACAGCTAAAAGACTGACAGTACAACACTGAAAGAATAAACACTCAATAATACAATGGGCTACAATGTTAAAATCACTTTCAGCATTTGAACAGGCGGTATATAGATACCACTTGCAGATAAGACTCATATCTAATCGACCTCTATTGAAGTGTACATACAGCATTTGGAAAAGTTTATTTCTGTGTACACACACACCTTCTGTGTACACACAAAATACAGCTATTGTAAGTTATATAATCATATGCATTCTGTGACTGAGGCAGGGCAAGAACACAATAAAAGCTCCATCTCTGGAGGTAGCCAAATTTGTAGATACGCACCTAGACAAACTGGAAGGAGAATGTCCAGGTCATTGTCAGTGGCTTGAAGAATCTCTTCCCAAGTCAAGTTGGAGGCCACATCACGAAAGCACCAGACAAACTCGGGCAGGATGCTACTAAGCAAGGAGCTATTTTCCAGAGACATTTGTTTAAGGACAGCCAGTTGTTTCATGTAACTGTAGGGAATACTCGTAAAGGAAATCAGGCAGTAACATGGCCAGAACCCTGGGCCTCTCTTTTTAAAGCTTCGAATGAGAAGAATGTACCAGAAGTGCTGAATCACAGCCAGTTTTGTTCTGGCCAACTCTTTCATCTGTCTCATGTCCCTTCAAGAAGAAGGATGTCACGTCTGCTGACCAAAACAAAATTAAAAGCTGGCGCCTCAGAGTACGTCTTTTTCTAAACCCTTTCCTTAGGCCAAAGAGCTCCCCCATAATTCCAAGGCACAATCTACTCTTTAAAAGAAAAATACATTATTTCAAGTGAAAATATTGTGTGAGAGGGAGACATCTACCAGTCCTGTGTTTAGAGCTTCCGAGGTCTGGCAACTGGCCAGACAGATGAAACTATGGTCAAATTGATAAAGTTGATGGAATCCAAAATGGCTCCAAGGTTTTCAGCAAATCTTGCATACTGTGATCCAGTAATAGGCATCCTTTCTAGAAAATGTAGCACTGCCAGGCCCTGAATTGGATGAATTGTTAAGCTAGCACTCTCCCCGTTTTCTCAAGTCTACAGACACAATGCCCTGCTTATGTAACCACATATTTTACACATTTTTACCAATCTATTCTTTGGGTTTTTCCACTGGGCATTGCATTCCACGGGAAGACAAGCTGGGCCTGTTAGCTGCTCTTCTTCTGCCTTGCCAATTAAAAAGAAAAATCAACATTAAACAGGGACTAAGATCAATCCTAGCTGTGTGGACACCTGGGGAAGAGTTATACCTGCCTGGCTGCTGTTCCTTTTCACTACAGCTAGTCTCCTCTAGACAAGAAGAGGGAGTCACATCTAGTCCAATGACAAATCCCCATCTGCTGTATGGGTGCAGCATTAGGCAGAATCAGTACAACAGCCAGCATGGCTTATACTTTAGGGCTGCACCTTCAGTGTACTTGGCCAGACGGCAGTGACCCTTGGGAACAGTAAGACCAGCACCAGTGACCTCTCCTCGCACGCAGGAAGCCAGGAAGTAGGCAAAGAGCAGAGCCAGAACCTTGCTCCCTGATCTGTTAGTTATCTTATGTCCATGGCTGCACTAGACCCAGTTCCCGAGTCCCAGACTGCGCCCTCAGCCACGACACCACACTGGCTCTCGGGACGACTAGGAAGCAGACTCTTGCCACCAGTGAACCAGGGACTCCGACACCTTCGTGATCACAAGCTCAGCAATGCCCCAGAAATGCTCCCGAACGGATCCGAGTGGGTCCTGATCAAGCATCTATATTGCAAGTGTGGCACGAGCAGAGACTACGCCACTGCCTTGGCGGTGCACCAACAGCAGTGCTGGGGAGGATACAGCAACCCGCCAAGTTCATCCTGCAACTCTCCGTACACTCTGGTGTTGTAGATGAGGACGCTGCAGAGGAGGGCTTCCAAGCAGAAGAGCTTGCAAAGGGCCTCTTCCTCCCCCTGAAACGGAAACAGAAGGAACATCAGAAGCAGTGGGAAAGGACTGCCTCCTTTTAATCTATGGCACGCAGTTGTGGTTAACTGCAAAGGACGTCCGCCCTCCTTTGCAAACCCCTTACTGGAGCTTCATGAGAACGCCAGCGTCCTGAGATGGCTGTAGCAGCTTTCCCCAACCTGGTACCCTTTAAATGTTTTGGACTTCAACCCCCCCCTCCCCCGCCAGAAAATGGCCAGGAATGCTGGCATGTGTAGTCTAAAACATCTGGAAGATACCAGGTTGGATATGGCCTCTGCTTCCAGGCATGTAAGAGCAACTTTGGTGTATTTAATGAGGTATTCAAATCAGGGGCTTTTAACAGAATTAGTTGAACCAAAATTGCACTAAATTTGGTGTTAAAATTTTGTATATTGGAAAAACATTGTTTTTATCTGTTCTTGTATTTTTTCATGGTGTGTTATGAATTCTTCTGAACAGCCCAGAGAGCTTCAGCTATTGGGGAGTAGAAAAATGAGTTCTTCCAGATGGTTTGGACTACAACAGCCATCATCCCTGACCACTGGTCACGCTGACTGAGGATGCTGGCAACTGTACAACCAAACATCTAGTGGATCCAGGTTGGGGAAGGCTGAGCCACAGGGACAAATGAGATGTTTTTACACAGCTATCGAGAGCAGAGAGAGTTCTTGGGACTGCCCCATTAGCTTCCAAATATTATTATTATTTTATTATTATCATAATAACATTTCTATGCCGCCCCTTGCCGAAGCCTCGGGGCGGCTTACAACACAATAAGATACATTGAAATACAATAGAACATAGTAAATTACCAATATGTTGCTATTTGAATGTTAACTGGACCAAGATATCATAAAAAGAAGCACAATCTTACTTTATCCGTTTGCTCAAGGAAACCTTTGGTATCCAGTAACACCAGGACTTCACCTGGCTTAGCTGGGTGGGGCAGCAGCTGCATCCATATTCCTGGAGTGGAGCCAAAGCCTGCAGACAGGGAGGGGGTGCAAGAGATGAGGGGACCAGCCACATCCTCCGAAGCAGGAGACCCAAGAGTGTGGCGGGCCCACTTACCTGCATTCTGCTCAGCCAACTGGTCCATGAGGAAAGACTTGCCGGTGTTCTTGGGCCCGAAGATGCCCACCACATGGAGTGGGTCAGTGATGCACCTGAGACGGTCCAGGGCTTCTGGGTTCACACGAAGCGATGGCTCCACCAGGCAGAGAGGCTGCATCGTGCTGGCGGGCAAGCAGGGGTGGCAGCATGAAGGAACCGACAGACTAAGAGGGCACTCTGTGCTGACTGGCTGGCCATGTGCCTCTCAATTAAGTATGAAACATACAGGACTGCACAAAGCTACCATTATTATGATCCGTCACTCGCCAATTTATCACCTTTACCTTGATACAGCAAAGCCTTCGGTTTGACTTCCTATGATGTTCATTGCATTATATTCATATCCTGCCTTCTTTCGTGCAAGGAACCCAAAATGACCAGCATAAGCCACCTCCTGCTGTCCGTATTATCCTCACAACAACCCTGGGAGGTAGACTAAGCTGAGAATCAGGAACTGGCCCAAAATCACCCAGTTAGCTTCATGGCCCAGTAGTGGCTGGAACCCAGGTCTCCCAGGTCCTGGTTCGCTATGCTGTGCTCACAACACCACACTGGCTCTCACCAACTTACACAGCTGCCAGAGTTGTGCCCACCTTACCTGAGTGAAGCCCTGTTCACTATTACCTGCAGGCATGGACCCAGTGCTGTGGCATCCCTGCAGCATAGTGAAACACTTCCCTTTTCTAGTTTTTTCACTGCAGCCCTTCCAAGAATGTCTTCTAATTTCTTGACCACTTTCAACTGATAAACTAAGCCAAGAAATGCAAAATCTTTCACAATTTCAACTTCATACATTAAAATTGTATCATTCTTTTGTTTTCTTGATATTCAGGTGCAGTCCTACTTTCGCACTTCTTTCACTTTCATCGGGAGCCATTTAGGTTCACACCTGATTGCGCCTAATACACTCCAGAAAGATTTTGCTGCCACAGACAACAGAAAAGAGGGAATGAGCCGAACTCCTGTGCACTTCAGGCATCCTGCTGCCTTCCCGTGTCTGCCCTGCCATCTCCTGCCCCTCATATTAGAAAGCCCGTGTGTTGTAGTGGTCAGAGTGCTTGACCGGCACCGAGGAGATCGGGGTTCTAGTTTCCACTGGGCCAGGAAACTTCACTGGGTGACTTTGGGCCAGTTGCTCCCTTTCCGCCTAAGCTACCTCACAAGGCTTTTGTGAAGACAGCAAGGAAATGGTGCCCTTTAGATGTTCTAATCCAAGACTCAGCATCCCTGACTACAGCCCATTCTGGCTGGGGCTACTGTGAGTTGTAGTCCAAGCCAGTTATAAGCTCCTGGCTTGCCTACCGTACCATTTTTTCTCTTCAAAATAGAATCATAGGAGAGCTGGAAGGAGCCAGAAGGCCTTTGGGTCCAATCCCTGCTCATCGCAGGACTCCAAGTTCAAGCATCCCCCAACAGCTGCCTCCAGTGTGGGAGAGCCCACCACCTCCCTCGGCCGGTCGTTGGTTCCCCGGTCCTACTGCTCCAACAGGCAGGAATTTTTCCTGGTATCTGGCCAGAATCTGGCTTCCTGTAACGTGAGCCCCTTGCTCCGCATCCTGCACTCTGGGATGAAAGGGAAGAGATCCTGGCCTTCCTCTTTGCGAGGCCTTTCAAGTGCTTATTGAGTGCTATCACTTCTCCATTCTGTCTTCTCTTCTCGAGGCTGAGGCTTGAGTTCCCTAGTCGCTCCTCGTATGGCTTCGTTTGCGGTCCCTGGATCACGCCTTCTGTGCTCCTCTCAGCCCGTTCCAGCTTGTCTGCTTTCTGGCCTGTAACTAACTGCCCCACCAGTGGGGAATTCCCGGCTAGAAAGCTCTCTCACTGGGAAATTCCCGCAAGAGCATCAGAAAAGCCCTGCTGGATCAGAGCCACGGCCCGTCCAGCCCACGATGGCAGACCGGCCGCCCGCAGGACCCCTCAGGCAGGATGGGCGCAAGGCCTCCCCCTGCCCACCAACCGGTGCATGCAGGCACGGTAGAGGAGGAAACGCCAACTCCCGAGTAGAGCCCTGAGGCCGGATTCTCACGACGCATGCTTGCATGTTTACTCGGGGGAAAGCCCATCCCACGGACTAAAGGCGAACGGCAGCATTGTTGTTGTTGTTGTTGTTGTTGTTGTTATGTAATAAACGTGCAGAGAGCTGGCACTTTAGCCGACCTCGCTCTCCTCCCGAGAAACCCCGACAACACGCCCGCGTGCACACACGGGAACGCCCGCGCACGCAGACACAGGCACACAATCCCAAGAAAGTGGGAAATGAGGCAACCAGACCTGATCCGGGATCCTCGTCCTGGGGAAGATGTTCATACAAGCCGCACGAAACGCTCCGCAAAGATGGTCTGATGCGAGATGGTCTGACGGTCTGAGACTAGACGGTCTGGTGCCTCACTTTCATTTTCGCTTTGCCGCACGGCACGAAGCTGTCTGGTATTTTTAGCAGATCGGCTGTCATCTTCCCAGAAGCGGGTGAAAAGTTTTCTGGGGGGAAAAAGTCGTTGGCTTTGCGTTCCCGCTTCTTTCCTCCCGGCCAGCGCTGCCTTGCACGCCCCGTAGCGAACCCGCGGGCGGGGACCGAGCCGCGGCCAGGCGTGGAAATGACGCGGAGGACGCGACAGGATCCAGCCCCGCTCCTCCACTCGCGTCCGCTGGATCGTCAGTAAAGGGCCTCGGCACGCTGAACGCGTGGCAAGTCGGGGGGGGGGGGGGGCGCCCCCTTTTGGGGCCCCCCCCCCCCCCCCCCGCTAAGAGCGGACCTTATTCTCCGATACCTTGGCCGGTCACTCCCCCAACTGGGACAGGGATTACCCCAATAGAAAGGCGAGCTCCGCTTTCAACTCTGCACTTGCTCTAAATCCTCCTAGGTCTCGCCAGCTAGGGACTGCCACTTGCTCAGGGAGCAAGCCCCAGGTGGCCTTTGCACCAGTGGGTGAGTCCCCTTTGCCCAGTTCTTACTGGCACTCTGGCTTGTCCCCTTTGAAGGCGCAGAACCCCAAAACACTCCTGCCGCCGTCGCCACCTCCTCGCACTTCCAGCAACACGCCAACGGTCTGGGCAGGCATCCGTGCCTGGGGACACTGCGCGCCACGGCCGCGCCCTGCACTTCGGCCCCAAGCTACGGTTTCGCTGCTGATGCAGATCATCTGCACACGCCCCAAGACTGCGAGGGAGAAGGAGCGTGGTAGTTCGGTATTTTTTTCCCGAATCCATAATACGCCTTCGACCCCGTTCTCACCAAATGTAAATGTAAGATTATGATGACGGTGGCGGCATGTGCCCACTCAGCCTAATCATACGAATGTCGTCTTAGCCAAGTCCGAGAGAAAGAAATCTCCCTTTGCAATGAGCTGCCTCTGCTAAAAATGGCAGTGCAGAGCAGGCACCCTGGCTGAGGTCATCTCAAGGCCAGATGCTTCCATGTAGCAAACCTATTCACTAGGAAAATAGCCAAGTGCCTAAATAATGAGCAATCTTCTAGAATGCATCTCAGAGCTAGGAGTGAGCAACGCCAGACAGTCTGCAGATAGAGCAGTGGGGAGGGACCCAAGGTGATATACTGCATTGCGAAAGAACATTTGCGGTCTTTTCTCCAGCATATGCACTGCTGGTTCTTTTTTTATGCCTGCTTCTACATAGACGACTGGTTGGTCTGAACGTTTTAAGAACTCCACACCCATCTTTTCCCAGGTTTGGCCTGGATGCAGAGGGAGATTACAAAACGGGGGAAATTCTCCAATCCCCTGCAAGTCTGTGGTCCCCAGACCTTTTATAGTCTGCCTCTTCAAGAGCCAAGGCAGAGTAAGCACGCCATGTGAGCAAACTGGAAGAAAGTTTTATATTCACAGCAGATACATGAATGAGTGGCTGAGCTTGTGTATCCTCTTCAGGAGACAGGATTACTTTGGTCCTTGATGAACTATAGATAATTCTTAGTTCAGTTTAGTGCATTTGTTTCTTCTCCTCCAATCCCAGTTTTTCTGCCCTGCTTTTTCTTGAGTTGCAATAATGCAGTGCTGGAAGAAGACTGGTGCACAGTGGCTTTACCAAGTCCAATAGGAAGCCTATTCCTAGGAATTCCTGCAGGTGAATTGGAATGCTGCAGGAATTCCATGCTGGGGACTGTAAGCTGAGAGGGCTGAGGATCATGAGTACTTTGGAGAATATATAATGAATAAAAATAATGTTTTGTTGCATCAAGAATGCACAGATTTAGGCTGCAATCCTATACTCGCTTGGGAGTAAGTCCCATTGAAATAACTAGGACTTACTCCTAAGGAGACTTGAGAGATCCAGGGTGAATTGGGGCCAGTCTCGGATGCTAAGGCTACCTACTTCAGAGGGTTATTTATTTTTACTTATTTAGAAAATTTCTATGCCGCCCCATTCGACGAAGCCTCGGGGCGGCTCACAAAAATATCACTTATAATACAATAAAAATATAAAACAAGTTATTGTGAGGATAAAATGGAGAGGAAAAAGGTCTGTATAAGCCACCTTAGGTTTCTTGCAAGGAAAAAAAAGGTGGGACAAACATGTACTAATACACATTCAAAAAAAATTTATAGGAACTCTTGTTTGTAGGTTGTTCACAATGGTTTAACCTAACTGTTGCTAGCCAGCTCTCCCCCCTCCCCACGCCCTATGGTTTGGGCAGTCCTCCTCCACCTGTGGGGGGGGGAACATGCGCTCTCATCCCCCATTGGCTCCTTCCTACAAATTACGGAATATTTAGCAGTGACAGTTTAGCCGAAAGCGATCTAAGTATTAAAACTATCGAGAGGCGGGCCCAAGAGCGCATTTTTTTTAATTGGTCACGGGGATAGAGAAAAATGAAAGACTGATCGTTATTGGTTCATGAGCCCAGCAGGGATGCTAAGAATGCTGTTATTGGCTCTTTGATGCCGAAGCAGCTCGGTACAGTTTCAGGGGTGGGAATTGGCGTGTGTGGCCCTTTCGCTCGCTCACGGGCGCGCGCGCGCACGTTTGTGTCTTCTCTTGATCAGATCGCTTCACAAAACGATCCCATAGGCAATAGTCGTTAGTTCCAAAGTGACATGGTAATGCTATCTTTAAAAGTTACCTCACAGCCCCTGAGGCTAGCTTTATCAACACGCAGAAAGTCTACTTCACTCAAGTCCACCTTGCCTCAGTAACAACAGTTTTCGAAAAATACGTTGGCACAGCTCCCCTGTGAGGGCATCGCCCCCCTGCAACTACCCCGGAGTGTAACTTTTTCTTGCCAAAACCACCGCGGTCTCACAGTAACAGCACATTTCTCTCAAAGCGAGCCGATCGTGTCCCATCAACGATTCACACGGATTTTCCCTTTCAGCAGCTTCCCTGTGGCAACATGGCTCCAGACGCCACCCTGCCACAGGGCGATGAATTGCCCTGGCAGCCGTCCCACGACACGGATCCTTCTCAGCGACATCAAAATGACACAGCACAATCCCTGCCAATGTCTATTTCCTTATATTTCTCGAAATCAGAAATAGCCAGAAGCACATGCTGATCACTGGGATAATAACCTCCCATGAAGCACTTGCTCCAGCTAGAAATTGTAAAGGGGGCGTCATTTTCCTATATCTAATCTCTCATTTCTTGGCTGCAATCAGAAACATTTACATGAAGCCTACAAAGAGTCTTGTGGCACGTTAAAGACAGATACATTTATTGCTGCATAAGCTTTCCCTGGAAACAGGACACATGTCAAAGTACTTACTGGGATGTGTTTGTGTTGTTCCAGAAAAGCTTCAGTCCTGAGCTTTAGGATCATTTTAAGATTTCACATAGGGGGCAAAGATGTCAAAAGACTAGCACAAGCAACTGCATCTTTGACCTTACAACATTTACTTCCATCCATCACGTATTTATTTTGCTCCAGCTGCATAATTCCACTCTGTCTGCAGCACGCAGCCATGTAGGATGGAAAAGATGCATTTGTAGCCTCAGAAAACCTATGGGACTTCTCGGGAGCTGAGTCTCTGGATCACGCATCTGACGTGGTCAGGGCCCCAAACAGGGTACTTGTGCTGGACTGGGTTTCTCTCCTTCAGAGCATTTTCCCCATTTAGTGTCAAATTAACATGGCAGGCAAGTAAGGAAGGGGGCTCACATTTCCGCCAGGAGACTGATCTTTCCTCCCTTGCAGGTTCATGCATCATGGAAGGCAATGAGAAGCCCGACACGCCACCCGCCCCAAATATTCAGTGCTGCCCCATGGACTCCACCACAGACAACACCTGCACCCAAGACGACTGTGTGCACCCCACTGTTGTGCGCTCTCCAACCTGTGCTCGCTGTCGCAATCATGGCGTTAGGGTCCCGCTGAAAGGCCACAAGAACAGCTGCCAATTCCAGGACTGCCAGTGTGACAAATGTATCCTTATTCTGTAGGTTTAGCAGGAAAGCAGGGTGTGGACCAGGGGCTTTGTTGCGAGATGCATTGCAGGTTACACAGTGTGGGTCTCAGTAGGTGGCAGTGTTCCCCTATGAATGACTTCATCATGTGAATGCTTGAGGTCCCCCTGGGCTTTGCTAGCTGAGCAACAAGTTTATTAATAAGGAACTTTGCTTTCTTTGTTGGCCAGAACTTCCTCTCTGATTTGTGAGGGGAAATCTATACTCATAGGAAAATCAGCAGACTGAAACACCAAACATCTGAAACCCCAAACAGGAGAAAGCATTTTTTTATTGGGTGGGGAGTAGGGTGGGAAAAGGAGTGAAGACAATCTTGTGTGTGCTTGCATCTGCATGTGCTTTCTCTGTTGCTTTGGGGTTTTCAATTTAACTGGGTGGTCTTACACTATTTTGAAGCTGGTTTTAAAATTGTTTACATTTAATATGATTGTACTGCTGTGTAGGTTGTATTGCTTATATTACACTATTGCTTATGCTGAAAACTGCCTTGAAAAAGCTATGGGCTTGAAAGACAACCAAGCAGTGGATTAAAAAATCATACATAAATTCTCCCAGGCAGAGACGCCGTGTCATGGCTGCCCAGGTTGCTCTGCGCAGGCAGCAGGAGACAGAGCTGAGGAAACAGCTAGCCAATGATTTGGTGCAACCTTCAGACAGTTGCCCATCAAACCCCGTCCACTTCATCAAACCTCTGAAGGGGATAAAACCATGCCGGGGAGGGACAGGTAACTACTGCTGGAATCCTATTTAATTGAAGAGATGAGCACTGGAATGAATGAATGAAAATAATAAACATAAGTTGTATGTGTTACAGCGCATCTCACTGCTGTGGATTCACTTCAGAGCCTAAATGTGTTTAGGAGAATGGCTGTTAGCATCAATTATATGTTCCCAACTCTCCATTTAAATGGGAGTTAGGAACACCCTAATTTGGTTTGGATTGTTTTTACATTGTAAAATACAACCACATTTGTGGTTTGCATTCAACTGTGTATAAAAGAAGTTTCTCTTTAGCTTTGCAGTTGGTGCAGGAACAAGTAATACAGGCTGCCAGGCACTGGGAAACAGAAAGTGTATTTCTGATATGTGTTGTCAGCGGTTAAATAAATGGAGATTCCTGTGGTTCAAGCATGATGTTTGTAAAAACAGTTTGCGAACA